CTCTGTTCAGTCACCGATCCCCAGCCTCAGCTATACCTCCTTCCGGGAGAAGCTCGCTGCCATGTGCAGCGCCGTGGGCATCAAGCGCGGCATCATGCCACACTCCATGCGCATCGGGGGAAACAGTGCTGCAGCAGCCAGAGGGGTATCTGAAGAAGCCCGCAAGGCCCACGGTCGCTGGAAGACGGACGCAATGGTACAGCTATATACCCGGCTGGAAGATGATGCCGCACTGGAAACCACGCGCAACCTGGGCCTCGCCTGAGTCAGAGGGCCCCTCCTGCTATCTTTTCTGTCTGCAGTAGTGTAAGGCCCTTGGCAGCCCCGGTTTCGCCTCGCCCTGTCCTATCCGGCACCCCGAATGCAACCGTACAGCAAGCCATGAAGGCTATAGGACATAATTGTAGCTTAGATGCGGCAGGAGCAAAGCGAGTATAGCCTCTAAGCTAGGTTATGTACGGCAGCCGTATGGCTTGCTGAGAATTCGAATTTACTATTTCAGCTGACAGCTCCATAGTTCCGGCATTCTGCCTACACTATTGGAGCTTATTATTATTGTTGCTCTCACTTCCCCCCCCCCCCGCCCTCAGTGTCCCTCGTTTAAAAGCGGCAGGCTCGGCCCAGTTGGAGACCGGTGATTAGGCAGTCCCCTCGGAGCGCCGGACGCGCAGCTGTACAGCGATTACCGCACGGCAAATAAGTGCCTATAGAGTATCGTCGCGCGCTAGGAATGTCGCCTGGCCAGCCCTGCTGGCCAGGGTGTGGTTCGTGCGTCGCTGACGCTTCAGGTTTGCCCTCGGGGCGGGTGACCAGTGGACGCAGTTATTAATGCTGCGTTTAGTTGTCTAGTGCTGTGCGTCAGTTCTTTCGGCCGTGCCGGTGTGGCCGCGCTGGACAGCGCTGCGTGCGCTCAGACCGCGCCGTGTGGCGCTAGACCGCGCTTCGGCGCACACGCGCCCTGGCGCTCCGAGAGCAGCAATTAGTACTCTGCAGTAGTGTAAGGCCCTTGGCAGCCCCGGTTTCGCCTCGCCCTGTCCTATCCGGCACCCCGAATGCAACCGTACAGCAAGCCATGAAGGCTATAGGACATAACTAGCACGTACACTCGCTCTCCCTGGACATCCTTGAAAAACAGACCAGGATCAGCTTGAGAAATTAAAAAGCCGAGGGTGAACCATGCTGAGGGTGAGTCGGTGTGTGGCACTTGTGTTGAGGCCAAGCTGTCATGTTAACCTTTGGATCAAGTGGAAATCTGGCTGATAGGAAGTTGGCGTTAGTGCATGTGGATGTGTGCGGTCCACTTCTGGTTACTTCCTGTGATGGTGATATAAAAAATGCTAAGTTTTTGGACGATTTCTCGCGTATGTCAGTTGTTTGCCTTCTGTCGTGTAAAGATCAGGTAGCAAGCATTGATATGTGGAGAAAAGACAAAAATTGTTCGTACTGACAGGGGTCAGAAATAGCTGAAGACAGAGTTGGCCACTTGGTATAAGGAAAGGGGATTTATTAATCAGATGACTGCACCCTACACGCTACCCACACACGTGAGCTCACCAAGCAACCCAGTCCCCCCAGAGAAGACGTGCCTAAGTAGAATGGCCCTCCTCGGGCCACAACTCCCCCTCATCCGAGCCCCGCTGCTACCACCAGACCTCAACCTCCCAAACCCCAGTAAACCTACGTCCTTTTGGCGCGCTCACCACCATTTTCCCCCTCCCCTGTCCGAGCGACCCCACCTCCCCCCCGGCTCTCCAGCACCCTACAACCTTGGAGCGGCACTAGGGAAGAAAAAGGGTTCTTCCCTGCACTACGTGACCGCCTCCACTACCCATCCTTCTCCTCTCCCTCTCCCGTCTCGGGGTTTCCTCTCACCTATTCCATGCTCTCCAACTCCCATCCCCCTTGAACTCCTATACCCCCCGAGCCCTGCTCTACATACTAAGCTCAAAGCGCTCTTAGGCAATAATTTCCACCACTTCGGCGCACCGCAATGCGCCTTCTGAAACCGACAGGATCGGGTGGTCGGGTCCCACCCTGTCCCAGCCTCTCCGCGGGGTGCCCAGCACCGTGAAGGAGTGCAAACGCGCCCAGAAGTCCACCACTGCCCGGGCACAGGCCCACTCCAAGGGGGTTGCTGCGGGTGCTGCTGCCGCCGCGGCTGCCGTTGCTGCTAACCCCCCTGTCACCGTGTTCCACTCATGCATTTGGTCCTCATCCCCCGGCGCGTTCGGTGCAGGCCCCGTCTGTGGTCCCACCCCGTCGGGCTGGATGAGGAAATCCGTTATCCGCCTCTGCCTGGGGCCGGGTACCTGCTGCGCGTGCTCCCGGTTCTGTGGTCCTTGGTGTGGAGATCGGGGTAAGCGCATCGAGGTGAGTCCGGGCCCACTCCAGCCATACCATCCTAGGGAGGGTTGCCAGATCGCTGCTCTCTGCCAGGGTCCAAACCCGCACCAGGTCCCCTACCGTCTGTAGTTTCCTGCAGGTGACAAGCCCTGGGTATTGGTACTCCAGGCTGGGGTGGCGCCCCCGGTCCGTCGGGTCGGTCCCTCCAGCATTGGGGAATAGCGGATTTCCCCATAATGCAGTCGCCCGGCACCAGTCACCGGGTGTCAGTGGGTTGGTCCCGATGTCCTCTGCTGGCGGCAAGTGCCCCAGGGCTCCCACAATCCGGCTGATATCCTTCGGCAGGTCACTAGCCCCAAGCCAGGGCCCAGTTGGGCTCACGGTTGTCAGGGGCCATGGCTGGAAAGCGGGGTTCGTGAGCAAAAGGTAGGCGGAAAGCGTGCGGACCCAGGGGTGGATACCTCCGCCCACCTGCATATCTGTGTCTGTTGCGCCTGTATCTGTTCTCGTGTTGCCTGTTCCCAGCCCTAGAGCTATGATGACAAAACGCGCAGCCCACACCGCATGCCGGGCTTGGATGTGTTGCCGGAGGGGCAGCAGACCAAAGCCTCCTGTCGATGGGTGACTGATCAGGAGTTCCTTGGGCACGCCAGTCAAGCGTCGGCCAGGATCATCCGGGCCTTGTTGGCGGTCGACCAGGCGAGCTGTGAGCCACGCTATCTCGTCCAGCGTGCGGTCTGGGGCCAGTCCGCCATGCTCCATGTGCCAGGGGATTGTCTGCAATACATACACCGACACCGCCGTTGCCTTTCCAAATGCTCTTTTTGTCCTCTCCCATCCCTTTCATCCAGTCCGGCTGTGGTGGGGTCACCTGGTTGTCTATCGGCAGGTTCAGGGCAGTAGCAGTGGTTACCACCTTAAGACCTCCGATTGTCTCATGCTGGGGGGCTGTTAGCTGGGGTCCTGCTGCTAGCGCCGGCTGCTGTTGTTGCTGTCGCTGCTGGCCAATCCATAGCAGTTCCACTTTCTCCAGGTTGAGTCGCTGGCCGGATGCCCGGGCAAGTGTTTCCATGGCCAGTAGGAAGGAGGGGACTGATTCCGCGCCATCCAACACCACTTCCATGTCATCTGCATATTGGCAGGCGGTGACGGGATTTGGGTCGGACGGTTGCAGCTTAATTCCCACCTCCTGGCTCCGGAGCCAGCATTGGAGAGCTTGGGCGACGAAGAGGTACAGCAGGGGCGCCAGGGGGCAGCCCTGTCGGACACCAGCCTCCATGTCTACCAACCTGGACTTGTACCCGTTGACCATCGCCCGGGCTCGGGTTTCGCTCAATAGCAGACGTACCCATGCACACAGCTGTGGCCCTGCCCCCATCGCCTCCATGGCCGCTAGGAGAAAGCCGCGATCCACTGTATCGTAAGCTTTGGCAAAGTCCAGGAATGCCAAAAGCCCTTGGCGGTTCTGCTTGCGGAGGAGGTGTGACAGGAGGTGGCGCAGGAAGAGTACGCTGGCCCCAATCAGGCTCTTGGGGAGGAAGGCAGATTGCTCGGTGGTGATGACCCGTCCCAGGGCGGGGCCCAGGCGGTTCACCAGTACCTTAGCAAGGAGCCGGTAGTCCGAGCATAGCTGTATGATGGGGCGGTAGTTGCCTGGGAGCTTAGGGTCGCCCTTTTTGTAGAGCACTGTGATGATCCCTTCAAGGAAGCTTGCTGGCACCTGCCCGGTCGTGCCAATGGCAGTGAACAGGCCTGCCATGGTATTCCCTATGGCTGACCAGGATTTCCTGTAGATGTCGGCCGGGATCCCATCCCACCCTGGGGCCTTGCCAGGTGCGCTCTTCTTAAGTGCCTTCCGCAGTTCGGTGGCTGTGATCGTTTTGGCTCCGAGCTGTTCATCTGCATCTGCTGGGAGGTTAATGTTGGCTGTGGTGAGGGAGTTCAGTACGGTTTGGCAGGCCTGGGGCCAGATGAAGTCCGGGGCCTTGCTCACATCCTTCCAGAAGTCGGCTACCACCTGGGGCAGCTGAGCGGGGTTGGTAACAAGTCGGCCGGACGAGGCTTGCAGGGCCACAGGGGCTGGCTGTTGGTCTACAGCCTGGGCCTGGAGGAAGGCTGTAAGGGATGGGCTTGGCCTCTCCCCTGCCCACAGCCAGTGGGTGCGGACCTCCATTGCATCCTTCCGGCAGTCTTCCTGATGTGCTCATGCGAGTGTTGCCTGGGCTTCGATCAGTTGTTGAAGTGGCTGTTGTGTTGAAGTGGCTGGTGTGCTGTGGGGGCTGCATCCACTGCTTGCCTTGCCAACTGGACCTCCCGAGCCCGGGCCCCTGGTCTGAGCTTGCAGTGTTTTGCCGCCTTGTTGAGCTGAAAGGCCAGGGTGCTCAGCCGGCGTTTAACAGCTGGCCACCACACAATCAGGCCCAAAGGGTTGTCCTCCACAGATGGGGCTGTGGCACACCGGCTGGTGATCCATGTCTCCATGCTTGCGGCTAGGTCCTGATGTGATGTGAAGGCCAACCTCACTCCTTGGTTCCCCGGGCCCTTGCTCTCTGGTCGGCACGGCAGCAGGTGCATGACCATTGGCTTGTGATCCGACGGTGTTTGCACGGCAATCTCCGTCTTAGCAATGTATGGCATGGTGCCATGGTGTACATAGATGCGGTCTAGGCGGGAGGCCCCGACGCGGGGTGCTCTGTAGAAGTGGGTGTAGTCGCAACTGTTGGGTTGCAGCTGGCGGTGGCTGTCCACCATGGTGGGGCCTGCCTCCCTGACTAGGTTTGCTGTAGGGCCATCCCCCCGTCTCCCCCCTTCTCCAGCCGTGGAGTCCAGCCCTGGGTTTTCCACAAAGTTGAAGTCACCCGCCCATATGAGAATTGTGTCACTGTTCTCGGCTGCATGCTTGGTTGTGGCTGGCAGCATGGTTGTGAACAGCTGTTGTCGGAGGGGATTCACTCGTGCAGAGGTACCCGCGGGGCCATAAATGTTGCAGATGTGGATGCGGTGTCCTCCCCAGCGTATTATACAGCTGGTAAATCTCCCTCGGACCTCGGGAATGGGCGGCGGGTTTTCCACATTGGCATTCAGATCCCGACGGACTAGGATGAGCACTCCCGCTGTGTGGGAAGAGTTGGACCACGAGTGTGCATCGCCTGGTGTGCATCGCCTGTGATGCCATGTTTAGCTCTTTCTCCAGTTGACTCTGGTCATGGGCATTAGTATGGTGGGTCTCCTGAAGGCACACCACATCAAGTCCCATCTCTGTCGACAGCTTGGCCGCCGCATGTATTTTTGAGGTATGTTTTGCCATCTATGTACGGGGTGAGGGTGAGGAGAGGAAAAGGAGAGAAGTCGCCAAGCAACAACCCACGTCGTTGTCTTCGTCCTGATTCCCCCGGGGCCTGTGTCAACTACGTTTCCGATAACCCGCAGGTGAGGTGATCTCGGTGGATTTCGCCACGTTGTACGGCCCCAGTCTGGCTGCACCCTTCGACTGCCGTTGCAGCGCACAGCACTGTCGCGGCCGCGTCATGCCGCAGGACTTCTTGTTGCCGTACATCACTGAAGAGTACGGTGACATGCGGCTGAGCGCCTTCGTGGCAGAGGCGTGGAAGCGCTGTGGCGGCGGCAGCAACAGTACTACTGATAACAGTGACCGAGGCAGCTGTGGCGGCGGCGACGACTACAGCGACCGAGGCAGCGGCAGCTGTGGCGGAGTGAGATGGGTGGTGTACACTTCACAGCCCCGTCAGTAGCGGGTTGAGAGACCTAGGAATGGTGGCTGACGCCGTATGGGAACGCTCTACGTTTGTGTGTGAGTAGGTACGGTGCATGTCAGATGGCGCAAGGCAGGTGGTAATGGGATTGCCAGGAAGTCACACCTCGAAGCCACGGTAAACCACGAATGCGGCCAGGTTAGGCTGCCGACATGGCCCTCGTGAGAGGGGATGTGATGTCTTGCCGAAGATGCGGATGCGGTCTGACGGATATGGAGATGCAGATGGCCGAAGTGCAGGGAATGTCGATGCGGTCTTCTTTCTCCGGAGCGTGTGCTTGTACACTGCTGAGGGTGTGAGCTTGTAATGCTGTGAATATGGCCTGGCATGGAGCGACTACCATAAAGACGGGTCCTATCATAGCTCTGAAACCAGGGAGCAGCGATAAGCAGCTTTGCAGCACGCGGGGTGAGCAGGTAGCGATGCACGTGCGTTCGAACCTTCTTATACGGGTTGGTGCAGCCCTTAAGAGCAGTGTGCTCATGATGACCCCCACCCCACCCTGCGCCAGGTGGTGGAAACGGTTGGAAGCCTGGTAGTAATCGGGAGGGCCCTTACATCGGTCTCTGCTGGTATCACTGTACCGGTGCTGCAGCAGCAGCGTCAAGGTTCATCGTAGTGAACGCATCGTAGCCTTGAGCGGAGGGGTGTGGCAGGGTGGGGGTTGCGGGGGTTACGTGCCTTGTGCGGGTGTCAGACATGGTCGGAGGATGCCATGGAACCGAAAAGCCTTCCAGGATTTTAAGTCAAAAAGCTTTAGCACGAGGTGGGCAGCAGCCGAGTAAATCATCACCGTCGGGCTTTCGGAGGTTTATGCGGCGGGGAACGTCAGACAGACAGACTATGTCAGTCTTGTGAGCGCGGCCCAATGGGGTAGCAGCTGGATGAGGCATCAATGCTCAAATTGGATGTCGTTGTCGTCATATCCCCCAATTGCTTTATATTGCGACCGTCGAACCTGGCTCTAGGTTTTGCTTGTTTTTGCATCTTGCAACGAGGTGCCATACGACAAGAATTTGACGAGCAGCGACTTGCGAAAAATGGTTGCGCTCTGGACATCCTGTCCGACATCAGAAGCAGGCAGCATTATCATATGCGATAAGGTCAAAAGGCTGCTTAGCTTCTTTGTCATCAAAGCATTGCTACGGTATTGCTCTAGGTTACATTGCTCTAGGTTACATGCAAGTCCTGCTTTCTAAAACAACAATCTCATACGAATCAAAGTAGATATGATTGAATCGGTTTGAAGTAGACAATAAGAATCAGAGCCCAAGAATCGAGCAACAGCTGTAGGCAATGCCCAGCTCCCCGGGCGACCGTTTTGTGCGGATGCGCTCAGATGGAGAGAGCCTTCTTAGCGGTGCAGCACGGCGCTTGTCTCGTTTTAAGATGCAGTTCAAGACACCTAGTTTGCTCGACCGGTCTGCTCCATACTTCACCGGCGTAAAACGCTTTGGGATAAGCAAGTTTCAGCATTACTGGCAGGTATAATTTGAAATTTTTGAAGCTTACATGCTCTCTGCTGGCATGACAAAAGCGAATTGGTTGTGTTGTGCAGGATCCTTTTCATACGCTTCTCAACCTGCCATGGGGTCGCTTCATCTTAATTTTTTTCGCAACTTACATGATCGAATTCTTGGTGTTCGCGCTGATCTTTTGGGTGCAGGTGTGCTTGGGGAAAGGGCAGGCCGGGTTTCGGGTGCGGGTCCAATTTGGGATTAGACGCCAGGCAGTACAGGGTGGACAAATGGGCCGAGGGTGACGACATGTCAATCTATACGGGAATATGGTATGAATGACACTGTTCTGGGCGCACCTCTCGCGGGGGCGTTCGAACCCCCCCATCACTGCAACCGCAGCTGCGCCAAGCTCCATCCAGCGGCATTGTTAGCCCTTGCAAACGCTGCTGGAAATTCCTCCATCCTCCGTGCTCACCCACGTCCCTTGTCCCCCACAAACTGCCCATTCTTTGCTCCAATCGCGTCGCGACCCCAACCCCGCAGGCTGTATGTGTGTCTGTCTGTACGTCTGTATGTCATCCTGAATGTTATTCGCTGTTCCATGCCGTCGTCCTAACCCCCAACGTGTCCACCCTTCCCACCCGCCATGCCTTTTTTCTCTACCTCCGCACATACGGACATACATACATACATACGGACACACACGCACATCAGTCCGACAGCTGCATTGAGGGCAAGAACGGAAAGTTCTCCCACGCATTGTGGATGAGCAGTCGTACGGCGTCTACCCTGGGTTTCAACCAGATCTCACCCAATCCGGAATGCACCTTCACCAACCTCATGGTCATGTGCCAGGTGGGCCGGGGCTGCAGGTGGACGGTTGGGGAGAAGGGGCGGATGGCCTGATGCGTGTTCGGTTGGGTGCGAGCGTGGCTCATGGCTGATGTGCCGTATGCACAAGAGTCAGGAAAATGGCAGAAGCGGCCCCGGGGGAACCTTCTTTGTTGTGGGAGGGGACCCAAATGGGCTCTTGGGTGGGCGGGTGGATGGGTGCTGTCTGAGAGGAGCGTGGTGGCAGCGGCGGTAGGTGGCGGCGGCGGCGGTGACATGCCTGGCCCTCTCTTTCCCCCTCCTTCCCCCCCGGCAGGTGATTGCCTCATCCCTGGTCAACTTCATCATGTTGGGACTCGTGTTCGCCAGGTTCTCAGCCCCCTCCAAAAGAGCATCCACTATTAGGTGAGGGGCTGGTGGGCTGAGGGTTGGGGGTTGTGCCGCCTTGTCCCTCGCGTTTTCCCCCGCCTTTCCCCTGGCTTCTCCCCCATCATACACCCCCCCCCACACACACACACACCGCAACATGCCATGCAGATTCAGCAGTGTGATGGTTTGCTACCAGCAGCCCTCCAGCGGCTACTGGTGTCTATCCCTCCGGGTGGCCAACATCAGGAAGCACCAGCTCCTGAAACCCACGTTGAGACTGGTGCTCACCGCGGTCGACTCGATAACGCCCTCCAACTACCTGTTTGAAAACCTGGCCATTGACGCACACAGCATGCAGGTACGCGCGTGCGTGTGTATGTGTGTCCGTACGCGTCTGTTGGTTGGAAGAACCGACCCGCGAGAAGGGAGTGGCGGGGGAGTGGCATATACTTGTATGTATGTGTGCGGGTGTGGGTGTAGGTGTAGGTGTAGGAGAGGGTTGTGCGTAGCGATGTCATGCCACGTCATCCCCCTCACGTCATGTGATTGGATGCGATGGCGGCGGTGGGCGCCAACTGAAATTTGTTTGGAGCAGTCCACTTCTAGAACAGTACTGGTGATGAAAACGAAGGTCGGAACGGAATGGTCGCACAGGACGTGTGGGTGTGTGGTAGTAGTGGTGGGGGGGGCTGTTTCGGAGGGAAGGAGGTTTTAGACGATTCAGGACGACTACTCTCGAGCGACTCGAAGCAGTGGTGGCGTTGCGTTGCCCTCTGGGGGTATCTACCACTCGCAGAGGAGGGTCCGTTGTCGCCCTCTTTGCACCGTCTTCTCCATCAGCTTCCTTCCCTAGCCTTTCGTCAAGCTGACCTTACCAAGCCGTTTCCTTACCACACACGCACACGCACACACACATATACGCCTCCCTCTCCCTCCCTCTGCACCTGCCACACACCCCCGCCGAGCAGGAGACCAACTTGGAGCTGGGTTTCCCCGCCAACGTGACCCACATCATCACCCCCTCCTCCCCCCTATACAATCTATCAGTGCTGGAGATGGACACCAGAATGATGGAGGTAGGGGGGGTGCAGGGAGTGGGGAGTGTGTGAGGGCGGGGGGGGGGAATGTAACCATTGGCTGAGGTAGCGCCAGGTCAGCGGATCGTGAAGATCCCCGGGTTACATGGGCTTCATTCCTCCATTCCTCCATACATGTTGTTGCATCGTGATGATTGTCAGTATCGTTAGCAGATGATTCCCTGCGCCGCCCTCCCTGGACGTGCCCCGACCCCTGGGACCCCGACCCTCCCATCCTCTGTTAAAGAGCACCAAGAGCACCCGCCAGTTGACCCGCCCTCCGCCTCCTCCACCTCCTCTCCCGCCTTTTCACGTCTCAATGACCTGCCTGCACATGACGACGCATGGCGACACATGACTACCGAAAAGGTGCTGGTCTTTGTGGACGGCATCGACGCCATGACCTCGAAGAACATGAGCGCGCGGCACGCGTACGGCACTAATGAGGTGGGCGCGTGGGTGTGCCAATGAATGAATGTATGTATGTATCCGTGTTGCGGCTGGCTCCTGGCCAGACCCGCATGCATTTCACTCATGCCTCCCTCACCGGATCCCCTCACCTGCCCATTCTCCCGCCTGTGCGTCTGCGATGTCTGTTTGTCTGTCTCCCTCTCCCTCCCTCTTTCCTCCTACCTGTCACTCATGCGCCAGGTGCACGTGAATGAGATGTTCCAGCCCCTCCATTTGGAGATGCGGGGAGGCAGTCTGGGACTGGACTTTTCAGGATTCGATCTGACCATGCTGGCGTCTGTGGAGGTGAGCGGGTCCCCAGCGTGGGAGGAGGAAGGGGGGGAAAGGGGGTTGTGCAGGAAACGGACTTTTGGGTTCCAATGCCTGTCCCCACCCAGCTACGTACCGCCTTCCTCTCGCTGCTCCTCCTTCCTTCTCTTCCTATCTTGAATCGTTTCCCCCTCTTTCATTTGCCGTGATCCTCCTCCCTTGACCTTCCCCCCTCTATTTACTTCCGGAACCACGGGTCGATGATGCTTCATCGCTCCGGACTCACTAGGCAGTTTCTTACAACTTTGGACCCCTTCCGGCAATTCATTTCTGCTTATGATTCCCCCTTCCCCTGTCCCCCCCTTATTTCCCCTCCACAGCTCCTCAACGAGCACAACAGTGAGCCCGGACTGGCGGAGAGGCCGCTGCCCGAGGTGCAGTCCCACATGTGGCATCTGAGACATATGGTGAGGGGCGGCCCGGGCTCCGAGGGGGCGGAGAGGGATATGATACGGTGTACGTGTGGACGTTTTTCCCACCTAGTCGCTGTCACCTGTTGCCCCCAACATTCGCTCCCAACCTGCAACTGCCTGCCTTGTGGCAGTTGTGGTGGTTGCGGGGTGCGGTGGATCTGTGGATGTTCCTCACAATCTACCTGCCTATATTTACCGACGTAACTGGCTCCTCTGCGTCCCTCGCTTTTTGCTGTGCACAGACCTTCAAACGGTTGACCGAGAAAGATCACGCCAACCGCCAACCGGCCTCCGAAAGCCCTGCCGCTGGCTCCGGCCCCTCAGCAACGGGGTCCCGGGGCCAGACGGTCGCCTACCGCCCACCCAGCCGCGTCGACGGTGCCGCGAGCTCCGCCGCTGCCGCAGGCGCTGGCGGCGGCGGTGTCCCCGGCGGCGCTTCGGCCAATCCGTTCTCATCACACGGCAGTGGCGGTGGCGGCGGTAGCGGCGCGATGGCGGCTTCGGGTGGCGGTACGGTGGCGAGCTCCTGGATGGGCTTTGGCATGCCGCTGCAGCCTGGCGCTGCTGGCATTGCCGCCGCGCCGGCAGCTCCGTCGCAGTCCCTGGCGGGGCCCGGCGGCCAGCAGCAGCAGCAGCAGCAGCCTGCTCCGATGCCGCTTTCGGCCTTCATCAACTCGGGGCAATCTGGACTGGAGTCCTTTGCGGACATGACCCTCCCGGTGCAGCACCCGCACCCGCACCGGGGTAGCCCCCAGGTGCACCACACACATCTCCACCACCCTTACCACCCTCATCGCCACCCACAGCAGCAGCAGCAGCAGCAGCAAGCGGCATCCGACATGCAATCCCTGGTGTCGCCGTCGCCACGAGGGTCCTGGGGTGCGGTGGGACAGCCGCTACCCCAACAGCACCCGGTTTACCCGGGGCCAGGCTCCGGAGCTGGCGGTGGCAATGGACTGGAGATGCTGCCGACGTCCTTGCCGGCGATGGAGCCGCGTTCGAATGGCATTGGCGGCGGGGCTGCTGCCGGCGGCCGGTGAAGCGCCTCGCCTCACCGTAAGGGTATGAGGGATGAGATCAGATATGGGTTCTGAGGACGAGAGATGTGCTGGCAGGCAGGGGAGATGATGATGAGGGTGGTGAGGAGGAGGAGGGTGTGTGGGTCGATGGAAAACCTGTTGTTAGGTGGTTAGGTGGCCCAGCAGCGGGAAGGAAGAGGTGTGATGACGAGATGAATGGCGAGAAGGGGGAAATGGATGGCGGCTGCCGTGAATGCCATGGATTAGGCAGGGGTTCTTGGGTTCGGTTGTTCATTGTGCGAAGTCGGTTTCTTAGAACTACTCTTATGTGTGACGTATTAGACGCCTATACAAGTGTCTATGTGTGTGCACGTATGTATGTGGTTTATGTGCGTGTGTGTGTTCGCGGTGGCCATGCGGCCATCTTGGTCAAGTAGGGGACATAATTGATTGGGCTATCCCTCTGGGCAACAGGGACAACGTGTTGTCTTTGACGACGCATACCTGCACGCTCCGGCATATAATTGCCAAACACAGTGTCCCCGGCCGGGTCGGGCTGAGCTCCAGCATACGCTGCGAGGTCTGTGTGTCCTAATTAGGACCGCCTCGCCCTGTGGCGCAAATCGTCACGTTGCGCAGAAAGCACACCGCCCCTTATCTTCACCACCGCTTGGGTAGTACCGAGGACTTCCCTTACTTCGTCTCCCATGGTCATGTGACACCCGTATGTGGCCATAGGAACGGAATCCTCTGAGTGCGTTTGGCCGATTGGTTCCTGGTGGTGGTTTGGCTTCGGAACTGGTGTCCTTGTCCGCATTGTCACGGTCAACTTGTTATACGGATGTAATGGGATGATGCTGGCGGCAGCAGCAGCGGGAAATACGGCTGATGGGACGGTGCGGATCGTTCTACAAACCATGTTAATGGCGTATGTAGAGAGAGAGTGTGTGTGTGTGATATGCACGACATGCACTGTATTACGTAGCCTACGTTACGTAGACGGGCGCTTGGTCGCTGGAGGGTTGAGGAGCGAGCAATGGAAGAGCGTGGTGTTCGATGGGCATATGGATTACAAGGGGTGGGGGGTTTGTGGGATCCCGAGGGGGATATGTCTAGAACAACAACACTGTGGATCCTCAAGTTTACCACCCTAGGAACGGGTGGTCAGATGGAATGGGTTGCCAGGCTTTGGGAGCGTGTCTTCTCGCCACAAACGCAGTACACAGACTTACGCAGGGGTCCGAGACCACAGCACTAGCAATCCTAGTAGTGGCAGCTGGGGTAAGATATGAAACCAAACCCTCTCGACAATTTAGTATTTTACGACCCTATTTCAATGCACTTACGGCTGACCGGCAGACTCCATCAGCGGAGGACTGCATTGCCGGCGACGAATTAATGAGGGGCATACTGACACGCACGCACACGTTTCACGGCACCAGGAATTGAGGTCCCGATGCCACCCAACTATGCCAACATATCCCTATGTACCTCCTGCACGCACAATGTGCACAGCCCAGCAGCGCTCCGCTCAGCTTGCATGTATCGTTGGACGTTGTCATACGGATTACTCATTGCACTCAGCTTTGCAAGCAATGCCATGCCCTACACGAACGCATACTTTCTGTTCCAACTCAGTTCCGGCTTCTAGAACATACGTTCATACGTTCATACATACATACATACATACATACATGCGGATGAGTCTGCAAACGATATTAGCTAGGCCACAGTGGTGCTCAGATATCTAGCGGCGGGCACCAATGGCTCAGGATCCACATCGTCCGAGTAATGCTGCTGCTGCTGCACCACGCGCCCGGCGGTCCGCGTGGTTAGCTGCACCAGAAGGGACTCGTTCAGGCGTCGCACATCCTCCAGTTGGGCGGCCATCACCCGGTTCGCCGTACGCAGCTGCACTACTTCCCGCGCGGCGGAGTCGCGTGCAGCGGCGGCGTCCTGTACGGCCGTCCTGGCTGCAGCCAGCTGGTTGGTCAAACCGGTCACCTGAGGCACGATAAAGGACGATACGCACATACATACCCACGCACGTACATAATACATGTTGTTGCTGTTATACTTAGGGTGGTCCCTAGCTGGTGTTCCCTGTACCTCGGGGACCAGCTACACAGCAGTGCTCAATCTCACAAGTGTTCCACTTCGTTCCTCAAGTCCCGCCTCAGGGCCTCCTCAGCCGCCCTGCGACAGCCAGATCTCCCCCCCCGGCTCAGTCGTGCACACAGCGAACTAACTCGCAACCGCAACCGTGCACACGCGCCCGCATGCTCATGCCTCATAGCCTCATATCATCCCACCGGCAACGCGGCGGGCTCCAGACCCACCTGCGCCTCGAGCCACTGCCGCCGGGTACGTTCCCCCGCCGCCACCCGGGCCTCAAGCAGTGCCGTACGCCGCTGCCGCTGCGCCGCGGCCAGCCCCTCCCGCAGCTGCTTCTCCCGCCGGTGCGCCTGACGCAGAGCAGACCGCAGCGCGCCCATCTCCTTCCGGCCCTGCTGCCACACCGCCTCCGCCTCCACCGCCACCTCCACCAACCCAACGGCCCCTCCGCCACCTGCTGTGCCCGGCCGGCTTCGTGTCGTACGCCCCTGCATCAGCCAGCCCCAGTCTTCCTCTCCCTCCCTCTCTCCCTCTGCTCCCAGTCCGTCGTTGCTGCAATCCTCTCTCTTCCGTCTCATAGGGCTTCCATCCCGGCTGCAGCTGGACATCTGCAACTGCCCATGTCGACCGCCGCCATGGGCGCTTCTATGTAGGAGGCGGCGGCTGTAGAACGGTGGCTCCGGCGCTGCTGCCGGACGTTGCGGAGAGCCTGAAAAAGGAGATCGAGGCGATGAGCTTGGAGGGACACCCCCCAGGTAGGGACCGCAGCTGTGGCGCCGCCGCCGCCGCGCACCGGCATCCGGAGCTGTACTCGGACTTTCCCGTGCAAGCTGACGACCGCGTGGTGGCTGCCGTTGCTGCTGGTGCTGGTGCTGGTGTTGCCGTGCTTGAGGCTGTAGCTGCGGAGACCACCATGCAGAAGCGGAGGTCGGTGAAGCCGTTGCGGCAGAGCGGCCGGAAGCTCCCGGTCGCGGTGGTGACGCCGAGGTCTTGCGTCGGCGGGGCACGGATGGGACGTCGGTGGCTGTAGCTGCAGCTACGCCCTCCGCCACCCGGCCATTACGTGCTGATGCGGCGGCCATCGACCCGGCTGGCGCGGGGTCCACGTGGCTACTGCCGCCGCCGCCGCCTCTCAGCAAGTCGCGCTGGTCGCTGTACCTGGCGTCCCTAGCCATATCCGCAAGCTCTTGCTCCGCGCATTGGAGTGCAAGCTCACGTTGGCCCGCGGTGAGGACCGCCACCTAGGGGGTTGGTGAGGAGCCGCCGCCGCCACCGGCGGGGGCAGATGGGGGTGCATGGGGCCTTGGGGCGACGTAAACACAGTAAGGACATGTATGATGGTGTTCAGTGTGCGGTACAGCGGATGGGGTGTAAGGTACAGCAACAGAGACCGGACGGGGACGGGATGTGACTGTATGTACGGCACACTTTGGGATTTCATCATGCGTAGGGTGGTGGTTAGCAGCTATATACACAGCTCATCCGCTACTATGAACGTGCCAACGAACGAACAAACCAACGAACGAACCTGCTTACCTGCCGCTGCAGCTCATCGATCTCCTCGTCGTATGCCATGATCAACGCATCCAGCGCCATGGATGCCGGCGCCGGCGCTGCTACCGAGCGTTGGACCGTATACGACTCGCCTGCCGCCGTCACCGTCAACGCCGCCGCCGCCGCTGGGGAAGCGACAGAGGCGGCTATAGCCATATCCTCCAACTCCGCCTCTGACACCGCAGCGCGCCGCAGGTGCCGCCGAAGACGTGACACCTCCGCCGTGTGGGACACCTGCTGGATTTCCATGGCGGCTCTAAGTTCCATCAGTTCCAGCTGGGTTTCGTACAGTCTGTCCTGCAGCGCGCCGCTGCCGGCGGCTGCGCGCGCCAGCACCCCCAGCAAGGCCTGATTACACTGCTCTAACGGCACACTGTGCGCCGCCGTAGCCGCAGCCGCAGCCGACCGTGACGGCGACGCGGCGGCATCCATGGCGGCGGCGGCCGCGGCAGCAGCGGCGTCTGCGAAAGCACCATCCTGCAGCGCCGGCGGGGCGCCGGCGTTGGCTGCGGTGACAGCGACGCGGCTGGCAGAAACGCCATTCCGGCCAGCGGCTCCGGCTGCGGCGGCCGCCCCCACTCGCTCTGCTGCATCTGCTGCCCCACTGCATACACCGGTACCTGTTACAATGGTCCCGGTCCCGAGTCCTGAGGTCCCCGCCGTAGGGGATAAGGTGGCGGCGGGCGCCTCCGCAAGACTCCCCTGCATTGTCGGTACACCGGCGCCAGGAGCGGCGGCTGCGACGGCGGCTGCCGGCGAATGTAGTGACGGCGGCGGGCTGCTACTGCTGCTCTTGTTGACAAGGGCGGCGGCGACGGCGACGGCGTCTCGCGCCACACGGGGATTCCACGACCCCAGGGACGCATCGCCGGAGCCCCCGCTGTCTTCACCTTCCAGCGGGTTGCACCCACCATCGCTATCACTGCCGGAGGCTTCTGCGCCCGCGGCTACTTGATTGGCAGGCGTCTCCACGCCACCGCCAGTGCCTCCGCCTCCGCAGCTGTCGCTGCTGCTACTACTGCTATCTAGCAGGTGTTCGAGTCCACGTGTGGAGCTGGGGCTAGGGCTGGGGCTGCTGCCGCCGCCGCCAACCCCGCTGCCGGCCGATTCAATGCCGCCGCCGCCGCCACCAGAGCAAGCCACGGCCGTGGCAGGGGTAAGCAAAGTTTCACTTTCATTGCCGTACTGTACGGCCCCCCTCTTAATTGAATCTGGACTTTTCGTACATGAAAGGCTGGGCTCCCGGGCGCCACCGCCTCCATTACGCATGTGGCTCCCTGCTCTATCCGTACTGACGTCAACACCATTGTCGTCGTACCGTACGACGTTTTCTCGTCCAACACTTGCTCTCGCACCCGGCAAGTTCATGACGTCAGCGGCGCCCCCGGCGGGAGATGGAGACCTGCTGGGCTCTGCTGACGCCAGCTCACGCTGATTCTCTATGGCAAACCCGGCCAGAAGGGCGCCGTACAAGCCCGGCGCGGGGCCCTTTTGCTGCAGCGCCGCCCACGCCACCTCACCGAAAGGTCTCGACAGCGATTCGGCGGATGGATGTCGTGCTGGTGCACTAGGGGAGGTCTGTCGCGGGCTTCCCGCCGCATGGTACGGCAATGGCCGTTGTTCACTGCTGCCGCAGCCGCCAGGGTTGGCGCTAGGGCTAGACGACTTTGCGCCGCCGTTGCCACCGCCGCCGGCATGGGGGCTGAAGGGCTCGGGGACGACAGCTACATCGTTATTGGCGGGGGAGGAGGAGGCGAAGGAGGTCGTCGCGGCGGCGGCGGTGGCGGGAGGCTGTAGCCCCGCTGGGGATATCGAAGGGTGACCTTGCTGACGCAACGGTGGCGGCGGGACCGGGACCGGGAGCGGCGGCGGCGCCGCCGCCACTGGAGAGCGAGAGTTGCACGACAGTCCCAGACCGACAGCGCCAACAGCTGCAGTAACAGTCGCTGTAGTGGCAGTAGCGGCAGCTGCGGTGCTGGCGGACGCGGACGTGGTGGCGGCGGTGTCCTGCAGAACCTCCGAAACCAAGTTGCTGTACAGCCGTGCAAACTCGGAACGCAAACGGGCCAGGCGTTCTTCAGCCAGGGTGACAGTAGCCGCAGGGGTGGGAAAAGCCGCCGCCGCTGCCGGCGATGCCACCGGGCTGGCCGAGGGAGCAGACCTCAGCAGCCCCTGGTGCCCCAGCCCTGAGCCTCCCTGGCGCTGCGGGCATTGCTGCTGCTGCCGCTGCTGACACTGCTGCGGCGGCTGTAGCTTGTTCTCCGGTGGGCCAGCTTGTGTTGGCGGTACATCTGTGCTGCGGCTTTGCGCTAGGCAGGTATTGTACGTCAGCGCATCCGTGCATGGAACATGCGGCGACGAGGGCTGTGGCTGGCGCACTGCCGCCGCTGCCGCCGCTCCGGCACTGCCGTGGGTGCTACGGCTGCGGCCGCTGCTGTCGCTGTCGTTGGCAACGGCGCTACTGGAGCTTCCGTGGGAGGCTGATCCTTTAACGTGAGCATAGCGGCTGGCGGCGGCGGCGGCGGCCAGGGGGCCGGCTCGAGCAAGCGGCACTGCCGCCACCGCCGCCGCAGCCTTCTCCCTCTGAAGCCTCGCGTTTTGCAACTCCTCCAGTCGCCGCTGCATTCGTCCCATTCTAGTCCGGCCGGTCCCAGCTTCCGGCCCTGCGCCACAACGCCTGGGCATTGCCGCCGCCGCTGCACCGCCTCCGGTATAGCTGGTGCCTGCATCCCCACCTCGACCTCCACCTCCATCGCCAGCGTCGTCCACATGGCGCTCGACCTGCACCCGCCCCGCCGGATGGCTGCCCCGTGAAGTCAACAGGTCGCGGCCGGCGGCGTGGAGGTCCAGGGCGTGTCGGGAGAACAGGAGGCGTCCAGGCACCGCGGCGGCGGCGGGTGCTGTGCGCCGGCTCGTGACGGCGTCATCCGCCTTATCAACGAGCCCGCCGCTCCGGCTCCCGCTCCCAGCTGCAAACACTGCGTCAGCTGCGAACTGAGATGGCGACCAAGACTGAGACGGCGACGGCAACGGCAGCGGAACTTGCCTCCAGGGAAGCTCCTCCGACCGCCGGAGGTCCAGGAGAGATGCTCCGGAACCAGTTTGGCGCGACGCGGCCGGGCCAGCGGCGGCGATAGGTGATGCAGCGCCGATGGTATCGGCTGCCAGGTCATCCAACCAACCGCCCTCGCTGCTCCGAAACCCTGCCGTCGCGGCAGCAGCACCACTACCACCACCACCACCACCACCGCCCCCGATGCCAGCAGATGTGCCGGTGCGGCCAAGGCTGCCACTGCTGGCTCTTATGCGCGCGGAGTTCGTATCGCTGATGGCGGTGCCGTGATGCCGGCCCAGGCCCAGGACGGATCCATCCTCGGAGTCCTGGGGCTCCCAGAAATCTCCCGCGCCAGGGATCAGCGGCTCCGGTACGGGGACTGTTGTTACAGCCGCGGCGGCGGCCGCGGCGGCAGCACGGTTGTAGGCTTGTACGACGTCCTTCATCTCTTGGCTGTGCCTCAGCCGCAGCAGCGACGCCACCTGGCGGTCGCGGTCACAGGGCGAAGCCGCCACCGCCGCCGCCGCCGCTGCTGCTGCTGCCAACGGCTCAGGTAAGGATGCCGAAACTGGACGGGACGCAGCAGTAGCTGCGCGGCCGCTGCCGCCGGCGCCACTGCTGCCGAGCAAAGGTGGCGGCGGCTCGCTCTTCGTGACGACGGTCTGCATGTAGGAATTGATATGCATTCACGAGCACATGTGTGTGTGCGTGCATGTATTTAATGTGTGTATATATAAGTGTGTGTCCGCATGTGAGTGCGCAGGTCATCTGTCAGGGCCGGACGGGACATCCCTATGGGCGGGGGGAACCCTGCACAACGGGACCCTGCAGCAGGATGCGGATGGGGGACCCTGCAAAGAGGGAGCCAAAACATCATCATAAGGCGCAGGACGGCGACGATGCGCGTCCCGCAGCGCCATTTGCGACTCCGTATCGACCCCGTATATGTCCCGACGACAACCCCAATCCCCAACATCCCAACGTGGACAACGACAAATGGACAGAGACTCCCATCCCAACGCGGGCCACAGCCTCGCCGGGTCAGGCAGATACTTAGGGTTCATGGAAAATCGACCCTCTTCTCACTTCACTTCAAATCACTTCATCGGAAGTTCCCGCCAGTCGTCCGCCCTGGGTTTTCCTTAGCCTATGGCCATGGGCCGTGTGTCCCTTCTCCTCCTCCTCCTCCTCCTTTCCTACAGCGCAAACCCAGGAATTCTCTCTTCTACTACCACCTCAAGCCCAATCACCATCCGGCATCCCCCCTGGCCCTCACATGCTGCAAGGAATGTCCGCAGCCCCCTACTCAGGATAAGAACCGAAACGACGCGATAAGATCCCGGGCCCTGTCTCCTCCCCCCCTTCACACGAGCCCCGAACAGCCTTCCTATTCCCCGACCGGACCCACACGAATCGCTCGAGCCTCCGAGATGAGCTTCAGCGTGCCCAGCACTGCGCACTCCTCCCGCCCGGGTTCCGCCTCATCATCGGGCGACAGGCTGGCGGGCAGCACCACCAGCAGGTGCGGGGCCACATTGCCGGCTAGCAGCGGCGCCAATTGCCGACACAGCTCACTGCCTTGCGCGCCGGGGCCGGTGCTCTGCAGCGGTCTTGGAGCGCTGCCGCCTGCGGCACCACCAGCCACCAGCAGTAGGGCGCGCGTCGAAGCCAACGTCGGCGTTTTGGCGCGTCAGCGCCTCAATGGAACGCAGTGCACAGCGATCATGAGTTTTTTCTTACGGCATCATGTACTGCGCCACACTTACCTGCGTCGCCGCTCTGTCGCGCCACAAGCTCTTCCAGGAGCGCCCTTACATGTCCCAGAGCCCCACCGCCGCCGCCGCCACTGCCACCGCCACCGCCACCGCTGCCACCCTCGTCCCTGTCCGTGGTAGCCGACGCCCAAGACGCTGTCGCCGCCGACGCCGCATCCGTCGTCGTTGTCGCCGTTGGCGGCTGCGGCGGTGATCCACCGCAGCCTAAGAAGACAAGATCTATGGTGGTCCAGACCCCGTCAGGTGGCTGCTTGCGACCGCCATGTGCCGCAGCGCCAGCCCTGGCAGACCCAGCCGCCCTCCCCAGCTGCTCCTGCTGCGGTTCGTTTCGATGCCCCTGGGAGGACATGTTGTTCAACCTCACACCCAGTCGTACGAAGAGCTGCACTGCAGCGGGGCCCTCCGGCGGTACCGCCGGCTCCAACAGGGAGCCCGGGGAAGGAGCAGCTGCAGCGCTGGTGGCGGCCGTGCCCACGCGCGTGCCGTCAGCGGTGGCGGCAGCTTCAGCAGGAGGACGTAGGTGCCGGCTGGGGTCCCGGCGCCGCCAGAGGCTACTGCGGCAAAAAGCAGCATGCAGCGCAGCAATGGCTTCCGCTACGGAGGCCGCGTGCACGCAGCTGCTTGATGGCATGGCGGCGGCTCCGCCGCTGGCCGACCCACGCGTCGCTCCAGAAGTACAAGTCGCGGTCGAGGCCCGCGCAGGCCCGCTGAAGCCGGCGCTCATGTGCCGGGCTCCACCGCCTCGAGGCCCCGCGGCGGCCTTCACGCCAGACGCACTGTCCAGAGAGAAATCGGCCATCGCCTCTGTCACCGCTTCCGCCATGAGATCACGCCAGCTGGCGCCGCCGTCGCCGCCGCCAGCTTGTGCCGTCGCCGTACCGGCGGCAGCAGTGGCGGCGGTGTTGCTCCGCCGTTGCGCGCTGCCGGTGCCGCCGCCTCCGCTCGCGCCTCGGCCACGACTACTGCTCCTGCTGCTACGGCCGCCGTCCTTACCGTAATCGCTACTGCCAACGAAGGTGTTCATGCTGCTTCCGCTGCCGCTATCCTGCGCGCCGCCGCTGGCACCCCTGCTGTTCGCGGCTTCGTGAAGCTCCTTGCACCATAGAGCCAAGCCGCCGCCGGTTGCCGCAGGGCCGGAGAAGGCGGCGTGCAGGCACTCCAGCAGCACGCTGGGTCGCTGCAGCCCCAGCAACACCTCCAGTGCTGCGTGCAAAGTGTCCTCTGCGGCCAAAGCAGGGGCTGAAGACGCGATCGTAGAGGACGTAGATCTGCGGGAAGGTGAGGTGGCCGTGGGTCCAGCAGGGCGCCTGGGCAACGCCTTCGGGCTTCGGGTGCTTTCCGACTGTGACCCGGCACCGCGCGTTGAAATGAGTCCCAAACAGGCAATACTGGTGTGAAAGCCATCGGACAGCCAGGTCCTAAGAGGACCCTGAATGGTGGAGGTAACGGGAGAGAGGAAAGAGGGGGCGAACGGGGTTTAGTTTGAGATAGCGCTTTCCGTGGGTCTTAGCAGTTGTTACTGGCTAGGCATGTTCTCCACCATCATGTCATGGGCACATACATGCCTCCGCCAATCGCTGGTGCACATCTGCAGGGAGGTATTGGGATATTCTATCTGAAGGTGGCAGCAATCTTTTTGTTTGACTGGTCCCGTGGTTGATCCGCCAGGACAGGATTGCAATTGTGTTCTCGCGTGGCCACGCGGCGCACCTCGGCAAGGAAGGGCGCTGCACCCGGTGTGCCTCCCGTAAAGGCGCGGGAAAGGCGGTACGTTGGGTGGACCTCCTCCGTGGGGCTCTCTTCGGTTCCATATGGGCTAGCGCCTCGGAGGCTGGGCCGTGAATCGCGGTGGGCAACACGTACGGTTTCGCCATCTTCGCAGACTTCAAGACCCGCTTTGCCTGGGCTAGCATCCAAGAGCAAGGCAAACGAGGACATAGATACGATGCGTACTGGGGAAGAGTCGTATCCACCGAGATCCGCCATTTGCTCCAGGCGCTTGACAAGCTGCGAGGGGGCAATTTGTGCACATGGACTCTCAACCGCGGCGTCTGTTCACCGCACGAACTCCCTAGCTTACCCGACCACTTGGTGGAGCGTACGTAAAGTTAGACAGCACGTCCATTAGTAAAAGCTCCGCTTTGGGTCAGCACCGTCTGTCTTAAGGTCATAAGCTTGTTGTTTGAACGCTATAATTGGGTTCTAAGGTTGCGTACGCTGCAGATCATTCGCTTAAAATTTTAAAATACCTTCCATAGAATTTTTATGAAATGTGCTCCCCCCGAAGGTTAGTCAGTTGTTTGGCCCTGCTGGTTTCAGCCTTACAAAAACTATTATCTGTACATGTCGTAGTAACTATGTAACATGTTTTTTGTTTGCAACGATATCCATCTAGGTAACATTAAAGAGTTGCGTCCCATTTCCCGTATTTCACGTCATTGCCCGTCCACGGGACCAGGTAGACGCTGGTAGACCCTCAGCACCGTATTGCATGTGCCAACAGCCAGGCACATCCGAGAAGTTGTCGGCGTGTTTGGATATTGATAAGTTTCGATTAACCAACCCTGAGATGAAAGGGTGCTGCTAGGGAGCTGAATGGCGCAAGGTCCAGCACAGACTCGCACAGATTGCGCACTTGTTTATGAGGGCGGGTGTACCCACCACACTTCAAAAAGCTCATCACGGTATACCGGACCGAATGAAAAACGGATGATGTCCGGTTCTATAAGCTTCACACAGCAGGATTCCGACGCCACGCACTAGGATTTGTACAGACAGGTTACATACAAGCTGAGGGTGGCTGGGGTGGCTAGGACGAAAACAGCACTGACAGACGGAACCAAACGTGGTCTGAACGCGCACGGGAAGGCCGGGGAGCGTGGCATAGTAATGCCACTTGATTCCAGGTCCATACCATAGCTTCGTTATAAATCTCACACATCCTAACAACACCACAAGGCCTCATGCATGAACCTCCGCTCCAAAACCTTGCAAAGGCGAAACCTTGTCACAAGGCCGTCGACTCCAGGATTCGCTTACATCCAGCCTGCGTGTGACCCATCTGGGATTACGTCAACCCAACAGGCCCAAGCCCAGCGAGATGGCACAATGCGAGAGCGCTGCCCTGTAATCCCCCGAACAGGGTACGGCACTCTCCATACCTCGTCCGTACCTGGTCTACCCCTGCAGAATCAAATTCAATCACGAAGTTTCACGGTTTTGCCACACGCTGCGATGATACGACTTGAACATCACCTCGCGCATCAATTGACCGTCAATGAAGGTTGTTTGTTAACACAAAAACCCTGCCCCTCACCCGCACCCGCACTTGTCTCCGGATCTGGATGAAGATGACATGTGGCGGTTCCCTCACATCCGTATCCATGCCCGTGCTCGCATGTGAGCGAATGCCTTGATAGCTTGATTCGATGTCCTCGATGTCCGAGCACTCCACTCCTTCCCTCTGCGTTTCCCCCCCCCCCCGCGCCCCGTAACCGTACCTGGTATAAGGTCCCCTAGCACACACCGCCCGCATGATTAGCACGTCGGGGCCCTACGCATCCAAAAGATAAGAGCAACCACCGCGACACCATTTTCAACAAGGCGGCAAGCACTTCTTTCAAGGCATGGTGAGCTGCTGCTCATAGGCCGTAGCTCGTCGTTGGTGCGAAGGGGGCCCTACCCTTCCGCATCATCCATAGCACCATAGGAACCGTCAAGAGTCCGAAGAGTGAATTCAACACGGACAGACGACATGCTGCCTCCTGAAAATGGCACCAGGGGAGGGGGACGCGCAGCAGCAGCAGCACTCGACGCTTCAGACAGCATTTTACCACGGGACCTTGTATGACAAAACAACGACTGTAGTTCGGAAGTAGCTTACTCAAAACCACGTTCCAACCCCTGACGGTCTGCCCACGCATTGTCAAGCAATCGGCACACAGGTGCATTAAACGCTGTAACCGTAACAGTGACTCGTAAATTTTTCCCAGGGCGACTCGGTGCTTCAAGGCAAGGAAAACATGCTTCCTTGGCCTGCGTGGAACGGCTACACACGCACTGCCCGACTTTATATGCGTTTGAAGTTTGTCGTCCGGTCCGGAATGGTGAGGATTACTTTTCCTCGTCATTCCAGCCGTCATTCCAGCCGTCATTGCGCATTTGGGACATAACCCAAACAGGATTTGCACAGTCGTCAACACTGCCAACCGACAACACCAACTGACCAACCAACCGACCAGTCAGCAAGCATGCAGAAAGTGCAAGTGCAAAACACGACGAAACTTACTGGTCAACATCCGACGCGTTAATGGACGCGCTATACAGCACATTATTAATGGACGCGCTAGAAACAGCACATGGAATGCCCGATTACATCAACACTTGTTACCAGTTGCAGTTTTGGTCTGGTAGTAAAATCCGGCAAAAATTCTCTTTGGCGTTCCGACCCATGGATTGCACCATTCATTGCACCGACCAGCAGCCGATGTGCCACCACTCCAGTTCTTGCCCGTCCAGACCTCTGCCCGCGTGGAGCGGACTCCGCTCGCTGCTGCCCCAACCAGGCTGCCGAACCCCGCTCTGAGTGGCAGCGCCGCCGGCGACAGCGGCGCGGGCGCTGCCCTGGCGTCCCGCCAGCGATGACGGTGCCTCCACTTGGGCGACATGCATGACCGGCGTGGGCACAGTCCACCTGCGTACCAATGCCAAGCGGAATGTAGCCTTCGAGCATCGCTATTGGCTCCATACCATTATATGGAAAACCTGCATCTATATGGTGCTTTTTAGCAGTTCGTTAAAGAACGTGTTTATTCACAAACCTGATGCAAGAGGCTCGTATCGCTAGCCTGTCAACACGAGCACCTGACAAGGTGCAAGCGGGTGCGCTAGCGACAGCCCAGCCTGTCCTTCCCTTCCCCACAAACACGGTCCCCGCCACCCCTTCCTTTCATTTGGATTTCGCCGGCGGTTCAATTCTGGCTTCCTTGCATATGATTCCCCACCAAACACCAGGCCAAAAGCACACACCACTCCCCCTTTGCCCATCTGGGTCACCTAGCACGGATGCACTTACACGACATCGTACTCCGTCACGCGAAGTACGACCAACGGCATGGCAGCCTGCAGTACGTAGGGCGCCAAAGTTATGAGCGGTATCGACTGCGGGCACACGCGTTTTGACTTGCACAGCAAAAAAAGGGGCAATCATTTGCAAATGCAGAAGCCCGAGAGACAACTCTGCCGGCGTCCCAAGCACCATTGGACCGGGTGTCTAGCGGACGGGGCGGTACACAACCAGGTCCGTCTCAATAGTGGTCGTCAATTGCGGGATATGAAGAATGGGCATTGAGTTTCGCACGAGGCACGGCGCATACCTGCAGCATTTGTTGCCATTGTAGCAGCTGCTTGATGGGCATTGCCCAATTAGGCAACCACAGTGTCCTCAGCCCGGCGAGTGCTCTCAGCGGCAACGCCATTAGCTGGTCCAGAAGAGTGAGGTCACGCTGTGAGGCTGGCGCGTCATGCGCGGGCCGCGGCGGCTGTACGGGCTCCAGCATTAGGTGCCGTACAAGTGAGAGAGGCGCCAGGGAGGGTATATCCTGGCAGCGGATGCCGCCAAGGCCCAGAGTCCGCAGGCCCTGCAGCACGGCGCGGGCGCGGTTGGCATGGGAGGCTAGTCTGTAATAAACTAAGCCCACGAGAAGAAAGGTGGCGACGACATTTAGGCGATGTGGTGTGGTGAGGTAGTGTGGAGCAGCGGGGTAGGTTGCGGTGCGGTCAAAGACCACACCGTTGCTCTAAGGCTGGCCATTTAAGCCGTTCGTCGTGTTGATGGTGATGGGCTGATAAGACGGGCTGTCGAGCAGGGACCCAAGGTCCCATGTACAGTACACCAAGCGGCGCTAGGAGCGAGCCGTGGACGTGAGACGCCAGACTTGCAGCGAACACGTCACAAAATACACCCCCTTCTTCCGCAATCCTGGAAAATCCTTAACTAGCCCCTGCCGCCCTTCTAAGGCCTCCTTCCTCAGGTGTCATCACCCATTGCTGGTAACCTCCTTTACCAGCTTACCTACCCCATCGCTCCCTACCCGGCCCCGGCCCCGGCTCTCGGTCCTCCCCCATTCCGTCACTGCCCCTTCCATCTGCCCTTCACAGGGGCGCTCGCATTTTCCGTTTGCAACAGCCGTGGGGAACACGCGGCACTGGACTACTTATCGACCTTAAGCGAGGTGACCGCCGCCACCAGCTGCGCCCGGGAGCGTGCCGACGCCTCCGATGGCACCTCCGGCTCCTCCGGGGCGCAGGGCCAGCGCAGCACTAGCGTCTCCAGCTCCGGAAGCTGCCCCAGAACCTGTTAACCGCATAACAAACGTGGAGGATGGTATTTATGTAGTAGTAGGAGAACATACAACTTAGACATGTCAGTGGATTGGCAAGCAGGCAGGCAGGCAGGCACCTTGGAAAGGTGTCGTGCGAAATGGCGTCAGCGGGTGGTATGGTAGGTGCGTGGTGCGTGTTCCGCTTGGCCGTCCTTTCGTTCCGTCCATCCTTCCTTCCTGCCGCTGCGACAATGTCCGTACTCACGCGGCATATGTTCGCTTTACCTTAGGAATGGAGATGTCCACGCTCAAGCAATCCGCCAGCCACATATGGCGCAGACGGGCGGGTGGCCGGGTGCCCACCAACTGGCACCGCACCAGCAGCAATGCCTCCAGGGACCTGGTCCGGCAAGCGGGTTAAGGCGGCCAGGAAGGCAAGTGTGGAACAGGTGGAAAATCATGTGATAATGATATAATGATGATGGTGATGATGGTGATATTAATGATAATGATGGTGACGCAAGAAACAACGAATTAACCGCCAACTTCTCTCGAAGCACCAACGGAAGGGGCAGTAGCCGAGGCGCCGAAGGACCCTGTAATGGACTGCTAGGAACACGTGTGATAACGTCAATAGATTCCGTGCACGAAGCAGCAGGAGCCCCGTTGAAGTCCGTGTAATTCTCAAACTGTGGCCCCTGCAAACAGTGGCCTTGTCCGTGGCATCGGGCGGCAAAGGTCGACACCTCCATGCATCTCCCATTGTTCATGTCGGGCAACGGACGATGCCTACGCCTAACTACGGCACATTACGGCACATTACGGCATATTACAGCACATTACAACGCGTTAACAGCACAAAAGACCTCGAGTCGAAGCCTTCCAGGAGGCTGTCCCACCTAACCCGTGGAGCCCACACGCCCCACTCGCCACACCGCCTGTACCACATACCTGGGCAGGTCGTCCCACCGCACGGCGTAGCAGCGCCCCGGCTGCGGCGGCCCAGCCTCCCGCAGCTTGCCATACACGCAAGGCCAGTGCGTGAGGCTCAAGGAGCGCAGCCCTGACCAGGCCCAAGTCGGCAACTCAGGCAGGCAGGGCACCGCCTGCCGGTGCGAGCGCCGCGGCTCCAAAAGGGCAGCCTTGCGGTCTTCGCTGCTGCTGCCGCCGGCGTTGCCGCTGCTGCTGCCGTCATCAACCCTTGCGGCAGGCCCTATTGGCCCTGCAGGCTCCAGCGCGGCCTCCGTCGCCGCCGCTCCCGCTGCCCCTTGACCTTGACCGTGGCTCTGATTCCCAAGCTCTGACGCCGCTGCCTCACCGTTAGCCCCGGCCTGGAGATGTGGATGCGGCAACCGCAGCTGTTGCTGCTGCTGCTGGGATTGTGGTTGTTGGTGAGAGGATTGCAAGTGCTGGCGGTGGAACAGGTGATGGGTGTGGGTGGGCTGCGACGGCGACGGCGACGGTGAGTCTAGCAGCGGCAGGCGCTCTGGAAACGCACCCAGAGCCTCCTCCGTGGGATCCGCCCCTAGAAGGTTCCATGTGGACAGATGCAAGGACTCCAGGTGAGGCAGCCCCGTCAGCACCGAAACCAGACTGCCGTACATGCGTCGTACACGGTGCGAGGGTGGCAGTGGCGGGGGTTGGGAAAAAGGGAAAGAGAGTAGCTGGAGTTGAAGCCAAAGAAGAGACATGATCGGAGGTATGGCCACACACACGCAAGGATGAAAGGGGAGGAAAGCTGGCAAGGGGGAAGGATAAAATCCATCGTAGTTCTTTGGGGTCCGCTGTCACGCGACTCATCATTCATGAAATGAACTGCAAGAGCCAGGCAAATGATATTAGCAGTAATACAAAGATAAGGAATTAAGGATTACGATGATAATATACGCGTCTCGCAGGTAGCACCCTACCTGCCATCCACAAAAGCGGCTGCTGTGTCAGCGGGACTGTCCATCTGTATCATCAGCCGCCGCAGACACGTCAGGCGACCCAGCGAAGACAGATGTGACATGACGTACTTGCTTGCCGCCAGCGGCGGCGCGGCAGCGGCGGCGCCCGCCGCAGCTGCAGCCGCCGCCGTGTCGTACACCGTCACCTCCCCCGACGGCAGCCCGCGGGGCAGCTGCAGCGACGTCAGCCCCGTCAGCGACCCGATGCACGCGATGAGGTCCGCTCCGAGCTCCGCCGTCTCCAACCGCAGGGCGCGCAGCGGTGGAGGAGTCGACGGCGGCGGAGCCGCGGCCGCCGCCGCCGCGGCGGCAGTGGCGGCGGCAACAGGGCTATAAACAGGTTGCAACGCTTGTCCTTGTGCCTGCTGCTGCTGCTGCAGCTGCTGATTTTGCTGTTGTTGCTGCGCCTGCTGCTGTTCTTGCGGCGGCAACGCGCCCGTCATCATGGCTCGGAAGGAAGCGCACAGTGCCTCTTCCTCCTCGCTCGTCGTAACGCGCACAGAAAGGGAGTGCAGGTGCGGCAGCAGCGGAAGCGCGCGGGAGACCAGCGCCTGACACCCCGGGGAGAGGCTTAGCGCCAGGTAGCGCAGTGGACTGGCGGCGAGGACTGCGCGACGAGGGAAACAGCCACCCCCAAACACATTGGGCGTGATACTTCTAATGATGATCCTCAAGGGGCAGGCGAGCGGGCCCGAAGGTGGAGGAAGGCAAACGCGAACGGACCCAAGCGCGAACCGGACAGAACTGGAACAGGGATGATTGTCGTTCCGGGCTTTGAAGCCTTTTAAAGCAGGGATCAAAGGTTCGAGGTAACGGACAAGGAGACGCGGAGTGCAGCAGGGGCAGCCAATGCAGGAGAGGATGGAACGGGACGGGTGCAAGGGAAGGGGCGGAAACACCACCTTCCCGCGACCCCTACACCATTCCTCTGGGCTCTTGTCCGGGCTTGCGCCTACACAACCTGGCCACTGGCCCGCTCCCCAGCACTTCGGCCCCCAACCCCCAACGCGAGAACGGTGCTGCTTGACGGGAAACCCGTAAAGGGCTCCCAAATTTCCCTCGACTCTCCTCAAACCCGGTATCCATCCCCACACACGTGCTGCCCTCCGGGACAGCTCCTGCAGCGGGTCCCGTCCCTCGCCCGCCGCGTTCCAGGCGTGGTCCGGGCACACGTGCATCAGCTCCAGGCGGGTCAGTCGCGGCATGGTGAGCAGGTCCAGCAGGTGCAGCGGAGAGGCAGGGCGCGCGTCGCACACCAGGTTAAGCGTCTGCAGGAGGGAAGGCAGCGGCATTGCGGCAATACAAGAATACCGCAGCGGGAGATCCGACGGAGCGACACGGGGGCCCCAGCAAACGCTCATGAAACCCTCATGGTGGGCGGAAGCCTAACGAGATAAAGCCGAGGAAACAACATCAAGTTAAGGTCTTAAGAGCAATTCGAGAGCAATTCGAGAGCAGCTCGAGAGCAGCTCGAGAGAAGAAAGAGAGAGAGAGACTGGTAAGAACGGAGGGAACAAGGGCGCGCTGCTTTCCTCATACTCTTCACTTTACTTGAGTCCCCAGCACAATGGGGAGTCCTTATGCAACAAAGAAGCCCAAATACGCAGCAGTAGTATACAGAAGTTTCACGTGTGTAAATGAACCTTTCCGTAAAACATCTATCATCCCTGTAATCTTCAGCACGCACCTCCAAGGTGGTTATGCTGGCCAGGTGCCGCGCGCCTTCCGCGTTGATGTTCTCACCGCCAAACTGCAGGCTCCGGAGCTGGTTATGTCGTACAAGGGACGCCAGCAGGTCGTACACCTGCGTAGGGCAAGTGAGCAGATGCGCGCACTCATCTCATGGCGTCAGGAGGTGAACATGTGGCTACACCTGTACTACTTCTCCGTCGTCAGCCAGCAGCGTCCAGCCCGGCCTGTCCAGGCTCCGAGCGGCAGCCTTGCTTCCTCCCGAGATAGTGACTGCCCCATCGAACCCTCAATTCCCCAGCCACTGCAACGTGGCGATATTGAGAGAGGAATGGCACGCGCGGGCGCTATAGAAACCTAGGAGCCTTGGTTGCAGACGAACTTCGATCGCCGTCAGGCTCTCTCGCTCGCTAGCCGCAAAATCCTGCCATCAACCCCAGCTGCCAGCGCGGCACAGCCCCAGCTCCTAGGGCCGCGCAGCAAAGCCTACTCCATTCCATCGCCCGGCCCGATTTTGCTGTCTCATTTGAAAGCGCCGTGGCCACCACACCTCGTTAAAATCCAGAAACGAGTCCACGTCGTAGCCAATGATCCACCTGCAAGGTAGAGGAGAGGGAATGACACGTTCACAACACGCAGCAAGAGGAACCATTCGGCGTGCTACCTCCCCGTCCCACAACACAGGCCGCGCCGGGAGACAAACCATGCAAAGGAAACAAACCATCCACCACCCCCCTCAACCCCTGACCCCTGACCCACGTGGCAGTTCTTTTTTTGACTTCTGATTAAATGAATCCCACCCCTTAAAGCTCCTATCCACCCCCTGGGCCATCCCACCTCCCGGCTTACTTCATGCAGAGCTCCTTTAGGTGACCGAGTTTGCACAGATGCGGCATGGAGGCGCGGTACAGGGGCTGCCCCGCCTCGTCCATGCCACCCTGACCCTGGAAGAGTAGCTCCTGAGCTCGGAAAGCGCATATGCGGGAGAAGGAAACACAACGCAGGAGGATTGCAGGTTGAAACCCCCGTCCCCAACAGCGCGGGGTGGGGCTGCAGCATCCAGCGGCCATCTTGTTGGGCCCGGCAGACCCCTCCACGCCCAGTCCTGTTCAGGACATATACCTAAGCCGGGCCCATTGCAGCATCGCACAATATCACATGAAGGTTGAGTGCCTGGTGCCATGTGCGCCATAATTACATGGATGGTGCCACATGTGCCATGTGCTGCATGGAACCGCAGCTGCGCCCCATTTTGGTTTTCCTTCTGCCCGTCACCACGCAGTCCTGAGCGCGCCTCACCCAGCTCAGTGTCGAGGCCATCCAGCTCAGCGCTGTGCGCTGCTCTATTCCCCTTCCCCTCAAATAGCCGTATTTGAGCGGCAGGTGCAAATGCAGCGTGTGCTTGGAAAGCACGGATTCCTTGCCAGCTCGGCGTTAGCCAGCCCAGCCCAGCCCAGCCCAGCCCAGCCCTACCCTGTGTCCAGCCCCGACCCGCCGAGCCGGGGACCCACCAGAGATGTGATGTGGGTCATCACTCCCAGGGCGGAATAGTCGAGTGGCAGGTCCCAAGTGACGCTGTCGTGAACGGACATGCCCCTCAGAGTGGGCCACAGCGCCCGCAGCGTGGACATGGCGGCATGCACCTGGGCCCTATGCAGCATGGCATTGTGAATCAGCGTGATGTGGGTCACTCTGGGAAAGTCGGTGCGCAAGCGCGGCAGCGGCGTGCCGCGCCGCGGCGTAGCGGCTAGTGGGGACGCGTCGATGGTGTGCGGAGCGCGGTGGCCTTCCGCCGTGGAGCTCGGTGGGGTGCTGGGGCTGGCGGAGGAGCTCGGGCCCGCTATCGCCGTCACCTCCCCGAGCCGAGGCCAGCTGTCCGCGCCGCTGACGGGCCGTGTGGGGGTCATCCCATGGGATGAGACGGCCGCGGTCGAGTAAGGGAGCTGCTCGCCGGCCTTGTGCCGCTGCTGCGCGCCTTGCTGTCTGACCATGTTGGCTACGAGCTCGGCCCAACCAGGCGCGGGACCCGCAATCAGCATGGGGTGGTTAAGCGGTAGCGTTAGGTGAGTCACCATCGCGCAGGCGGCAGTGCGCCAGGCGCGGCAGGACATGGACGCGGAGGCGAGGTCATGTGTGAATAGGAAGGAGAAGACGTCCTGTATGTGCGGCCAGTAAAGGGGAAAAATGAGGCGAGGGAAGAGAAGAGACGGCAACGAGGGGTGAACTGAGTGCGCCACAAGGTTTTATGGATGAAGGAAAGGAGCCTGGTGGATTACGAGGAGGTGCGTGTATGCGTGGCCTCGTTTCCTGGGCTAATTAAAGCAAACTCCAAGGTGCAGGGCATGGTGCGCTTCATGTAGCAAACGATGTGTTCTAGGTATGGTCGGACCGTGCGAGAGGAACATGAAGCAGGTGTGCGGCAGGAACGACGTTTCCGGCCATGCAACGCCCCAAAGCGCCTAATACTGTCATAACCGTGTCATGTGAAGGATATTTCCTTTAAAGCTAATTCGTGTGAAGCATGCCACGCCCGCTGGACAGCGAAACGGGAATGTCCCACCGCATTCACAAACCTGCACCAATTCCTGAGGAAGTGCTCCCCAAGGAGCCTGCCAATCGTCATCCCGAAGCCGTTTCATGATCAGACTCAAGGAATAAGCCGTGACTCTCTACGGCTAATTAACTCAAATTACAACTTTGAAAGTTCTCATAACCGTGCCGTGGACAGACAGTACAGTGAGATACGTGAAAATAACAAGAAATTCATTAAGTATTTACGTTGAAACATAAAACATGCTGTGCGCCTGTAATCTAGTGACTTGTGCTTTTGGCACGGCAGAGAGGCGCCGTGGACAGGTGTAAATGCTGTCATCTCCTGAACAAGCTGCCAATGATCAGATTGTTGAATATTGTACTATAAAATGAAACAGAATATATTGCCAATTGGCTTGCATTTACCATAATATCTGCAGTTTGTGCGCTTACCGTAATGGATCACCCAGCCGCAAAATTACCCAAGGTAGCTGCCTTAGCAAACGGCATGATTTCTGAAATACATGAAATAATAGATAGCCATCCAAGCATTGGAATCTCAGTTTGGGTTCATGACTTGCCGGAGGAGCTCTTACAGGTACGCCAACACACGCACCGGCATTAGCGATCTCAAGGCATAATTCACAGACAGGGCGAGGTCATTGGATTCAATCGCACGCTGCGTAACAATCGCACGCTGCGTGATGCCGCCAATCCGTTGTATCCTTCAACTTCTGGGATACCTTGGGCCATACTCCGGCCCGTGCCTCGAGTCCCAGCCGATCGCGAAGACTGCATGCAGTCCGCAGCCTTTGCCTCCTTTCCCCTTGCCTTGCGATCCAATGCTCGCGTACCCGGAACATACGGACCAACGTACTGGTTCTAGAGCTTGCGTCTTGCACTTGCCCATCCCTTATACCTTGTCCATCGTTTCTTGCAAGCGTTTTTTGATTTCCCTCTCTTTCGGCCAGTCATCCCGTCCCCTGGGCGTCAACAGACGCCCAGCCTCACCCCGCGCATCAAATTCTTTTGAAATCACCCTGACCGCCTCCTGGCCACGTCCCCTTCCACGCACTCCCAAAGTTCCCATTTTCAACTTCCCTCATTTCGAACCAACATTCCCGAAAGCATCACTTGCGCAGCTGCATTTCAAAACACATTTCACGGCGCGTTGTGACGGTTATTCGGAGCGCAGGATCCTGTCCACTCGCCGTGTCCAGTTCTCCATTCCGACAGCTCCTATCACTGCACGATTGCCGCCCGCCTTACCCCTGGCCTTCATCTGGCAGGCATCGATTGCCCTCCCACGCCCCATATCTCCCTACCTCTCCCTACCTCTTCCTACCTCTTCCTACCCCTCCCTACCCTTCCCTACTCCTATTTCCCTACCCCTACTTCCCTACCCCTACTTCCCTACCCCTACTTCCCTACCCCTACTTCCCTACCCCTACCCCTACTCCCTAACCTTCCCTACTTCAAGAACGCCTTTTGGTCAGTTCTACGTCTGGTACACTCTTGCCCTGGCAACAGCTTCACTCGTTCGTGGTTCTTCTTTCCTACTCCTTCCTACCTCTCCCTACCTCTCCCTACCCCTCCCTACCCCTCCCTACCCCTTCCTACCCTTCCCTACCCCTCCTTACCTCTTCCTACATCTCCTACCCCTCCCTACCCCTCCCTACCTCTCCCTACCCTTCCCTACCTCTCCCTACCTCTTCCTACATCTCCCCACCCCTCCCTACCCTTCCCTACCTCTTTCTACCTCTCCCTACCTCTCCCTACCCCTCCCTACCTCTCCCTCCGTTCTTCACCCTGGGACTGCGCTCGCAAATAAACTGTGCAGAGATCTCTAGCTTCAATTCCAGCTCTCGATTGGCAGTTTATGCATTTCCCTCCCTCTAGCCCCGGTCTTCATTATCGATGTGGGTTATGCTTCTTCCCTCCCTCCCACCCCTCGCAATTGGACTCCTACAATTGGCGTTTTAGACTTCGACAGCTGGTACCTTACATTTTGCTTATGATCTCTCTCTTCCCATGATCCTCACCTATTTGGGATGCCGGCACCTGTATCTTTTTGTATCGCTTTTTGCATATATCTCCCCAACCCCATCTATCTATCCCTCGCTCGCTTGCACATCCACCTCCGCCCCTCCGCAGGGCATCAGTCGTTTCGTGCCCACCCACCAGCGCGGCGTCATGCGGCTGGTGTGCAGCAGCTGGTGTGAGGCCATCTCTAAGGACGTGACGCAGCTGCAGCTGCCGCTGGCGGCTCTGACGGCGCCTCCCGCCTGGCAGGCATCCCTGCTGGCAAGCCCTATGCCCCCGGTCCGCCCAGCCACACGGCTTCCTTCCAGCTGCGCACTGGCACCAGCCGCAGCGGCGGCGGCGGCGGCGGCGGCGGTCTCCCCTCGTGAGGCCGCCCTGCGGCGGCTGTTCTCGCGCTTCCCACACGCCCGCCACTTAGTCTTGCTGCACAATGCGGTGCTTCCGCCGCCCGCGGTGAAGGTGCGTGCGTTGGGGGCCGGGCTCAATCATATGCAGGGAGGGAACAAGAACCAAGTGCCTGGCATTGGCGGGATGCGGTGTTCGAGGTACCCGTAAGAAGGGCTTTGGCCGTGAGGTTGGCCGTGAGGTTCGCAGGGAATGAAGATGGCGTCAGTGGCTCTTCATAAGGTTAGCAGGAGATGAGATAGTCCGGGCGTGGGTGCTCCATCCGTAGCACAGCTCTCGAATCGGGGTCTGGGCTCCATCAACTCCATCAGTCTATGAACCCCTTGGGTTGGACACCGCCCCTGTACCGCCCCTCTCCCGGCCCTCCCCCGAGGCTTCCATGCAAGCTGCCATGCTGTGCCCTTGCCTTTGGATGGATGCATGGATACCCCACCTTGTTTCGGAAAATTCGCTCCCTGTCGTACACATGCCGTACATATTTTTTCTTGGGACGTTAACCTCCTGTACGACAGGTCGCGTTGTCCAGCCTCCGCTTTCTGTGCCCTGCCGTAAGCCACGTGGAGATCCGGGACAGTGTCTCCTGGGAGCAGCCCCTGGAGCTTGCGCCGCTGGTGGCGGCGGCTGGACAGGCAGCGGCTGGCAGCAGTAGCAGCGGCAGCAGCAGCAGCAGTGACACTGCCGTCGACACTGCCGCCACCTCGTTGTCGGAGCCGGCGGCAGCGGTGTTGGCGGCGGCGGGGGCGGTAGCGGCCGCGGCGGCGGCGGGGGCGTCGGAGGGCTCCTTGCGGGAGCTGACAGTGACTTATCTAGCCTCTCCGGACATGCAGCGGGTCGCGCGGCGCTGGTAATAAGCGCTTGATGACAACGATGGTGATGGAGATGATAGCGGTAGTGTGACGAGGATGACGATATGATGATGGTGGAGGGGTTAAGAGGGAAAAGATGATACTGCTGAAGCTTTTTCGGAATACCCTCTTTTCTCCTGCACACCAGGGCCCGGCGCCAGCGCCGTACTGCCGTCTTCATAAATAACAATATCAAACGTACGGATGAACTGTCCTTATCGCAACTTGGGCGCCACTTCCAATCCCCCCAAACCACCTTAACGTCTAGGTTCGGCCGGGAGCTGGAGAGGCTCGTGTCCCCGCACTGGTCGTTGGAGCGGTTGCGGGTGCGGTGGTTAATGGGGGAGGCCCCTCGGACTTTCTTCACGTCGCGTGGTTTCACCCGGTGAGTAGTTGCGTGTATGTATGTATGTACGTACGTGGCGGCCTTGTGCGTTCATCTTGGATGCCCCCCCTGTTTCATCGTGTTTCCCCCGCCCTTCCCTGGAGATCATGTAATTCCTCCCCCCGGTGCTCCCCTCGCCCAGGTGGGTGAATGCGATGACGGGGGTGGCACCGGACCGTGTGGGACTGATACAGGTGAGGGGGGTGATGGCCCTAGCGCCTACTAGCAGCTGGCGGCGGGGGCTTGGGAACTATGGGAGACCGTTATGGGATGCCGTTGCTTGAGGGTGACTGGATGAATCAATGAATCGATAGACAAAGGGATGATCACCCATCCACATCCACATATACACACACATGCTCGCATACACGCACGTTACTTTGCTTTTAGGTGGTGATTAGCAATGTCTCAGCAGCGACCTGACTACCATCTCCGGTAATGATGCCCCCCTGCCCTCCCTGTTACATCATTTAATTACCTCTTTAATTACACTTCCCCTACTTGCATTCTTATCTCGCATGTATCGTGTTCCTCCCACCACCGTCGGATAATGTTATTATTATTATGTCTTCACTCAAATCAGGATGTAAAACACAGAGGGTCTATAGAGAGGTAACCCAAACGAGGGGGCAATCACTATACGATGTATGTATGGTTATGTGACGTATGTTGATTGATGATTTACACATGCAATAAGCAAATACAGTTAAGGTGGAGTTGCTATATAGCAGCTAGCGGAGCTAAATCCAGGTTGTTGGAAGAGCGAGGCAACTGCGGCAGCGATGCTCTCCACTCGCCTTCCTCCCCTCTCTTTCTCTCTTTCTCTCTTCCTCATCCCTTTCCCGCCCACGACCCGACCCGTTCCGGCTACTGTGCTGATCTGATTAGGTCTTTCCAAGGGTTTCCAAATTAGGTTGTGGTCTTGGTGACCGGTATTGACTTGGGTTTGACTCCCGGTATTGACTTCCGGGCCACACGAGATCGAGTTCCCCCTCCCGTTAATATTGTTGAAAGTGACATGTTAAAGCTAGAATAAATAGAGGTTTTTGCCAAGGTAAAAATAAGGGTAAATTTTCGTATTTCACGTTTAACATTATGTTTAATAATGAATTTGAGTTACCACTGTGCTAAATTAAAGAAAAGGTGGATAATATTAAATTATATCAAGAGAATTTACAGCACTATATTATAATAAACTGATTTCTATCGAGCATTGTTTTCATTGCAGTGTAATACGCGCTCTGCAGCTCCCTCTATATCTTCATACTGATTATCTTTTAAGGCCCACAATATTCCAATTATGCGTAAAGAAAGCTATAGTAATAGCGAGGGGTATCGCCGGGTGTATATTTTTCCTGATTTTTCACCTAAGCTTCACACGGGCCCCAAATGCGCTGCTGCAGTCCCTGGAGTTTGCATGGGCGGAGCTCTCTGACGGGTCCTTCGATCGCCCCATCGGCGGCGGCGCCGCTGCAGCTGTCGCTGGCGCCGCCGACGGTGGTGGCGGCGCCGCTCTGGCGCTGGCGCCGCCGTTGCCTCCCTGGATGCCGGAGCCGTACCACGCCGCGCTGCCGCCACCGCCGCCGCCGCCGGATCCCTTAGCGAACATGAACCCCGCCGCAGCGGCGATGGCGATGCTGGCGGGAGGACACGCAGAAGCGGATGCCGTATTCCAGGCCGCAATGGACGGCCACATGGCCGAGGAAGAAGCTGGACTCATGGGTCATTTTCTGGGCCAGGGCGACCGTTGGAATCAGTTAGGCGGCCTGTCGGACTCCGCGACGGCGGCGCTGGGGTTGCGGGGCGTGCACGCGGGTGGAGGACCAGCGGCGGCGGCGGCGGGAGGCCTGCGACCGGGCTTGCCACTGTCGTTGTGCGCCTTTTCCAACCTCAAGGTAGGATAACACGCAGCGGGTCCTCCTCTCCCCACACCCCAGTCAGGTCGTGGCCAGGTTATGGCGCCGCAGCCGCAGCCGCAGCTTCCCAAACGTTCTTACTTTCCCCGCCTCCCATCCGACCGCTGCTTCCCATCCTCCTACCCTCCCCCTCAGTCGGTGACTTCACCGCTTTGGACTCACTAGGCAGTCTCAACCTTTGGACGGCAGCAGCAGTCAATTCCTTTTGTTTCCTCTTGCATGCGGCCCCCCCCCTCAGTCGCTGTCCCTGTGTTGCATGGCCAGCCACGCCCCCGCTGACCACCTGCTGCGGCTGCTGCTGCGGTGCCGCCGGCTGGAGAAGCTGTCCCTCGTACACCACGAAGCATACGCCAGCTGGCCAGTACGGCGCGCGCAGCTGGACCTGATGAATGCGCTAGAACAGGTCGTACAAGGTGCGTGTGCGGGACGGTGTGAATCTCGTCCGTTTGTGCGGGTTGGCATGGTTGGTTTGGCGGTTTGGTCTGGGTCGGTGTATCGGTTGGTTGGTTTAGGGTAGTGGGACGAGTGGCACTGAGAGTGGGGATGCGGCGGAGGGAAAAACACACGCGGCGAGAAGGGTGGGGAAAGAAGGGCGTGAGTGGTGAAGGGCTTCATGGAGAGGTTGGAGGCGTAAGTGGATGGCGGTTTTTTGGGTTTGTGCGTGCAGCCTCCCTGTAGCGGCTACCCTGACCCGTATGATGGCCTGCAGCGGACGCCCTGGCTGTGATTGCCGGGGGTTAGCTATTTCGCCCCTTAGACGGGCTTTGCCTCCCTTATTGGCGTTGTCTTTGCTGTCGCTGTGTGTAACGCTGTATTCCACCACTGGCGCGCTGCGGTTGTCGACACCTGTGTATGCCACGCATGTGATAGAGGAACTCGGGGTTATTGAGTCCTCAACCCCGCCGCAACCCGGCAATAGCCACCATCACCCGGCCTCCGTCACCGCCGCTGCGGCCCCGGCCGCGGCTGACGTCGCCAACGTTGCTGGCGCCGCCGCTGAAGAGGGCGCGGGCAGGGCCAGCGGCAGCGGCGGTACTGTCGGCTGCGGCGGCGCGTCCTGGTGGCCGTCTGACCTCGTCTTGCGGCTCCGTGAGCTTCAGCTGCCCGCCACACCTGCGCTGTTGGCGCTGCTACACCTGCCGCGCCCGGCGTTGTCGCGTCTGGAGGTGCTGGACCTGCAAGTCATCATGGCGCAGGGCTTTGCTGGGGCACTGGGGGGTAGCGACCAGGCGCTGGCGGGTACGGCAAGGCTGGTTTCGGCGCTCAAGGTGGGAATTGGGCTGGCTGGTGGTTGTTTGGCTGGCTGCTCGAGATGCGATGTGTGGTGGCTGACGGACTGACGGGCGAACTGACGGACGGAGTGCAGTTTTCGCTGTGCTGAAATTGGGGATTGGATGGGCATGTACTGCTTCGGGGCGTCAATGTATTGCGGGCAGCAAAGATTCGACCACAACGGGGCCCGCGCCTCTGCCGGCTGCGCCTCGTGGGCTCGCACGAGTGTACGGATCTAAGGATGCCTCTCCACACCGTCGAAATGCACCTCTCAGGATGCAATGTTGGATCGCACTTTCAGAAGGGGCTTCCCCCTTAGGAGGGGCTCTGAAGGGCCCCTCCTACGCCCTTCCCGTTTTCGCATATAACTCCCCTTTCCTCCCCTTTCACCCCCCCCCCCCCCGGGTCCTGTCCAAGCAGGCCGTACGAGCCTCCGGAGCTCGCCTCCGTGACCTGTTCCTGAATAACGTGGACCTCAGTCCCCATCTGCTGGAAACCATCACTCAGATTGACACCCTGGAACAGGTGCCGTACAGGGGGAGTACGACGCTAGAGTACGGTGTTTATGATATTACGTAGGGTTGGTGATTGTGACAACTGGTGATAAAAGATAATTTAATTGCGCGCCCTGTGGCGCGCGTGCTCTAAGTGAACCGTCAGATGAGCCGCCGCGCACGGGCTCTCGCAGGACAGGAGCTGCTGTGTGCCCTAAACCGCTGCCTGGCCCTCCTCCTCGCATATGCCCTGAGCCATGACCCCCTCCATTTCTCCTGCTCACCTCACCTCCTTTGGCAGTCGGCATTTGGTCACTGCTTTGCCCGGGCCCTGCATCACATGATTTCCCCGCTTCCTCCCGTCAACACCTCCTGTCTGTCTGTCTGTCTGTCTGTTTATCTTTCTGCCTGTTTGTCTATCTGTCTGCTATTCATCTGCTCCTATTGCTAATGCCATTAAGAGCCCTACTCAGCGTGTATTCAACCAATCCACCCCCCAACCCAAATGCTTATCTCGCCCGGTTGTTGGTTTCCATTAAACAACGAACCCCCAAACCAAACGATTGAAGCAAGCTGTTCGTCGCCCTCTTTTACCCACCTCATGCCACCTCAACTGTCTTTTGTTCGTCACCTTTTCCTATTTTCTTGTTTGGACCGCAGTTGCTGGTCTTCTCGGGCGTGTTGGTTCTCAAGGATCGCAACCACGAGCCCGCCGTTAGCAGCGGTGACGATGATGACGACGAGGACGGCGACCACGACGGCAGCAGCAGCAGCGGCGGCGACCTGGACGACGGAGGCGTTGACCTGGACGATTTAGGCGACATGGACGAGCATGAGGAGGACGTGGATGCCATGGAGTCTGCGTCGTCCTCGGATAGCGGCGACCACGGTCCTGGACCTGCACCTGCACCTGGACCTGGGCTTGCGCACGGCGGCAACCAACCACACGCTGCTGCTGGCGCCGCGAACGTCATCCACGTACACAATGATGACATAGCGGGCCTTATCGATGCGGCAGCTGAGGCAGTTCTTCGCGGACGAAGGGGGGAAGGAGCGCAAGGTGCGGGAGCCGCCGCCGGGGGCCCCTTACAGGGCGCCATGCCGCTTGGGGCAGGCGGGGGCTTTGGCGGCGTTGGCGGTGTTGGTTTTGGAGGTGGTGGAGGGGTTGTGGGTCCCTTTGGGAGGGATGATTTCGCCGCCAGGCTGGTTTCCACGGCAGCGGAAATGGCAGCTGAGATATTCGGGATTGGGGGAGCAGCATCTGGGTCGGGAGTGGGCGGTGGCGGGTGGTTTGAGAGGTTACAGGGAGACGGAGGACAGGGAGGAAGTGGAGGAGGAGGTGGGGCTGCCGATGGGGCAGGAGACGGAGGTGGAGGGGCATGTGGAAGCAGAGGGGACGGAGGAAGGGAACGAGGAGGAGGAGGGGCAGGCGTAGTCGCGCAGCAGTCAGCAGTAGTGGTAGCCGCCGCCGCCGCTGCTGCTGCTGCTGCTGCCGGTAGTAGCGCACCGCAGGGCGGTGTGGAAGTGGAGAAGGCAGGTGAAGCCGCCGCCGGCTGCGGCTTTCCGACGGGACCCCAGGCGTCTGATGGCACCGCCGCCGCTGCCGCCGCCGCGACACCGGCGGCAGATGGCTCGTTGATCAAGGGCGAAGGGACCTGGCCGTTGCCCAGAGAGCCGACAACGGCGGCGGAGAAAGCGGCGACGGCAGTGGCGGCGACCGCAGGGCTTCCGCCTCCTCCGCCGCCGCCACCGCCGCCGTTGAAGTTCGAACCCTCCGCCGCCTCTGCGACCCTCCCCGCGCTCAAGGCAGATCCCTGGCGGCGCAACGCCGTACTGCTTCGGAGGTGGCTGGAGGCAGGTCTCGAAGCCGCTGCAGCCGCAGACGCAGCCTCGAAGGCTCCGTCCTGCGGCGGAGGCACCGCCGCCGTCGAGGATGCCGGCGGCAGCGGTACCGACAGCGGGCCGGGTCCTAGCGAGGGGTCAGGCGTCCCTTTCCAGCCAAGATCGCAGCGGCTACACAGGGCAGAGGGCAAGGACTGTGGCGGGATGGCGCAGGCGGCGGCGGGCTGTGCCTCATCCGGTGCCGTTGACTTTGAGCCCGCCATCTACTCAGCTCAGGCAGGGGCGGCCGCGGGGTCGAGGGCGACTGCAGCAGCACAGAAAAATTCCAAGGCGCGCCAGCGCGTCTCCGTTGCAGCAGCCGGTGGCAGCGGTGACGACGACGATGACAACGATGACGACGACATCGACGGCGGCAGCGGCGGCGACGGTACATATGATGGAAATGTAAACGATCGAAGGGTCGATGGCGGTGTCGACGGCGGCGTTGCCGGCGGCGGCGGGTACCGCAGCTCGCCGCAGGGCGACGGCTCAGAGCAACCGGGGAGGGCACGGCATGACGGACCGAAACCAATGGAGACGGCACTGGCGAGCCCCGGGCCGTCGCCTGGAGGCACACGCACACGCACACGTACAGCCGTGGACGTGGATTTGCATGGCACCAGCGGTGGGGTTCTTGACGGACGAATCGGCATCGGGGAGTCGGTTGGTGTGGATGTTGTGGCGGCGTATGCTGCGCAAGTATGCGCGGCGGCTAGGGCGGCCCTTCCGGGGCCGCTGAGCGACGCGGCCCCGGCGGCGGCCACTACGGCTACTGCCGGGGCTGCAGCAGGAGGTAGCGGCATGGCGGCAGCGGCGGCCGCAGCGGATGCCGCTGCGCGCGCGCTTGGGGAGATTACTTTCTCGCCCAGCGGAAAATTGGCCGCCTCCATCGCCATGTTCTTGCGCGAGTTTGGGTGCTTTCTTGCATCTGTAGCGACGTTGTACGGCCGTCAGAGGGCGTCACAGCAGCAGCAGGACCAGGAGCAGCAGCAGCAGCAGCAGCCGCAGGAGGAGAGGCATCCTGAACGGCCGTCAACAGCATCCAGCACTGGCCTCGCGGGCGATGCCTCTATTACCAGCGGCGGCGGCAGTGGTGGCGGCGATGGCGTTGGGGGCAGCGGTGCCAGCAGCAGCGGCAGCGGCAACCGTGTAGCGGCGGCTCCAGCGGTGCCGGTTGGGAAGCTTCACCTGGACCCGATCACTGTGGGGCGGTTCGTGGAGGCCGCGGTCTTCCTGGACGTCATTAGCTGCGGGGCCTCGCGGCCCATCATACAACGTGGGCTGGAGGACGCCGGTGCTGCTACCCCAATATCTAGCGCCGCTGGCCCCGGTTGTGCTTCCGTCGGGGCTGCTGGGCCCAGCGACGCAGGCGGCCGGCGTCAGAGGCCCGCCAGCGGCCAGTCCGCCGCAACGGCTGTAGCCGCTACTGCAGCAGGACCTGCTACAGCCACAGATGCAGCAGCAGCGGCGATCGCTTCCGCCGACGCTGAGGCGCTCGCAGCTGCGGAGACGCAGGTGGATGCAGCGGCCGCTTATGCAGTCATGTCCTCCGCCATGTCTGCGACGGCCGTCACTGTGACGACGGCGGCCGAGTACGACACTGCCGCAGCCGCAACCTGCGCTACTGCTGGGAGGATTTACGGTGGATTGTTGGCACGTCTGTGCGACAACACGGCGCGGGGGAGAGTCGGTAGTAGTCGTGGTGGTGGTTTGAGGAATCCATTTAATGAAACGGGGCTGTTACTCCTGCTGTGTGAAGCGATTCGCGCTTGCAGCGGGACGTTACGACAGCAGCTGATGCGCTTGCAGCGGGAGGGCGCGCCGGCGGCAATGCGGGCGCTGCGTGCTGGCGGTATGCGCGGTACATCGCATACTGAATCAGATCTGGTGACCACGCTACTCAGTTGGGCGCAGCTGGCAGAGACGCTGGATGCGGTTTTGCTGGCGGCGGAGGCTGCGTTGAGGGGAGTGGCGGCGGCAGGGTCGGATACGGAGCATCGGCTGCCCGTCGCCGATGGACCATCATCATCATCGCCGGCGTCGGCGTCGGCGTCTATAGCAGATCCCGCCGCCGCCGCCGTCGTGGCGGCATCGGCGTCGGCGGATCCGGAGGCCGTGATGGAGGCGCTTGTAGCGGCGCGACCCGCGGGTCAGCTGCGGTCCGCGGCGGATGAGGGGCTGCTGAGTATGCTCAGACTGGACGGGCTCACTCGGCTGACGCGGCTGCGGCGACTGTGTCTGGACCTGAGTCCGGATAACTCCGTGCCGCTGCCGGTGGCGAGGTAGGCAGGTAGGGGGATGAATTAAATCAAAAACGCATGGCAGGAATGAAACGTTAGCTAGCCGGCAGGATTAAACGTTGCATAACGCAGACGTGCAAATGAGGGAACAGAAGTAGCTGCGACAGGGATTAAGTTAGTTGACCAGGTAGGATTTCAAAAAAAAACAAATCTACATACAGACACCCCTCTCCTGTGCGCGCTGCGTCACACCTTCCCTTCCCCAGCACCCTCCGCGTGCTGCTGCGGAGTCTGCCCTCCCTGGAGTCGCTCCATGTCACGGATCAGTACTGCCATCCGGAAAAGCGACTGATGGGCTCGCTGGCGCTCCCGGGTGTCGCCGCTGAGTACGGCGGCGGCGGCGGCGGCGGCGGTACCCTTGCTGCTGCCGCCGCAAACCGGCTCACGAGCTTGACCCTTGCGGCGCGACAACCGCGTCGCGTGTGGCGGGCGTACACGGCCGATGGGACGGGCGCCCTGTTGGTGCCTGCTGCAGTCAACATCCATGACGCCCTCGCGGCCGCACCGCCGAATGTAGCGGCGCTGCTGGCCCCCCTGGATCGTACGGAGCTTTCTGGCGCGTTGTGTGAGCGCGACATGCTGGCGCACTGGGGCATGATACCCCGGTAGGTCATATGCCGGGGGTCGTGACGGGGAGCGGTTTGCGTGAGGCGACGGCAGCGAAGAGGGAGGGGTCGTCGAGTCAGGGAGGGAGGGAGGAAAGAGAGCGAGGCAAGAGATGTATAGACAGATAGACAGATAGACATGCAACATTGACAGATAGACATATGGACAGGCAGACAATAACAGGACTTTCGTGCGATACAGGAACCTTCGAGCGCTTTGCCTACATCGAGTACGGCTGCTGGACATGCCGAGTGATGCGCTTACTGGGAGCCGGGACGAAGGGCTATTAGGGCCGCTGCATGGTGATGGTGGCAGCCTGGTGATGGACGCCGCCGCAATGCGGAGCCACGTGCCGCTGCCGCTGCCGCTGCCGTGGCGGCGAGCGCCTTCTGCCGTACCGGCGCTGCTACAGCACCTCTGGCTATCCAACGTCACCCTAACGGCGCCCACGGACTTCGCGGCTCTGCTACGGGAGCTGCTGGCGGCAGCGCCCGTAAGTGGCGGCCTGCAGACACTCGTTGTACGGCATTGCTTCATCGTACGGCGGCAGGTCCAAGCCACTGGCGGCTCCCCCATCGGCGCAGCTCTCCGCCTTCTATCCACCGCTCTGGGCACCTCAGACTCCGTGTGCAACGGTGCTAGTAACGGCCTGCGTCGCCAGCAGCAGCAGCAGCAGCAGCAGCCCCAGGCCCCGCCAGGGGGCCATCACCGCGTCGGCCGTGTACGACTCGCCTTTGGAGAGATCATGGCGTCAGTGGCTAAGCACGCCTCCGCCGCGCAGGCACTGGTGGCCTCCGCAACGACGAACGCGACAGCGAGGGCGCCTGCGGGAGACGCACGCACGTCCCAGCGTTTGGTGATGAGCGGGGAGGAAGTGGGGCTGCTGTGCAAGATGCAGGTCAGGAGGACGAGCGGGGAAGGTTTAGGGGAAAAAAGTGAGGATTGGGAAATGCGCATGAGTGTGTGTAATGAGTGCGTGTGTTTACGCGCGTGTGTGGAGAGTGTAGCATTCCTGCATTTGTGGGGCGTGGTGAAAAGAAGGCGGCGAGTGGGGTATTGTGATGGTGTGGCCTCTGTGTGGCTCGTACTGTACCGTGTCTTCTCAATACTTCTTTCCCCCTCCCGCTCCTCTCCCCCCTGTCCCCGCCCCCGCTCCGAGCAGTCCCTCCGCTTTCTCGCGCTGGACAGCTGCCTGCGGCTGGAGGACGTGTGTCGCCTGGCGGCTCTGACGGCGCTGCGCACACTGGCTTTGAGTCCCAACGTGGTGGCGAGTGAGGAGGCACGTGCGCGCCTGGATGTGGAGATGGCCTCGCGATACAGCCCCTCGCTGCAGGTTTGTCCCTCTCTCATGTGTTTGTGTGTTTGTATGTATATCTGTGTATTCTTGTGGCGGTGTGTCTGCGTGTTGCCCGGTGGCATGACGCGAGTAGTGCGGTGTGGTGTGGTGTACATGTTGCCCCGCGGGCTGGTAGTTGTGGTGGTTGTGCTGCCTGCTGTGCGGCTGGCGCGGCACCTGGTGGGTTCTGTGTCGGTTTCGGGCGGAGTTCGTCCTGCACGAGGTCCGCTAGGTAGCGTCTTGGGTGCTCGGCTGCTCATGAGACATCTGCAGCAGCTTGATTGCGATATAAGTCGTGCACCCGTTGGTTCACGACGAAACCACAATCATTAAATATCATTATGGCTGTGACGAGCGCACAATTTGCCCAGACCTATGATGCGTTTTGATATGATGAAGATGTCGTACTTTGTCCCATGGGCCCATTCCCGCGTGTTTTTGTTCCCCTCAGGCTGCCCTCATGCAGCTGGCACCGCTGACGGGCCTCAGGGGGCTGTGGCTGCCCGAGTGGGCGGCCAGTAGGGCGCATGTGTTGATGTGGCAGTCGCAGCTCGCGGCTCTGGGTCCGGCGTTGGTGACCCTGCGCGTCATGGACCACGACAATCTGTGGCGGCTACCCACACCAGCGGGGTGCCCGGATGTGGCCGACTCACTGCAGTGGTGGCAGGCGGAGGTGTGGAATACCATATAGCTGACGGGGACGGACGGGGACGAACGTTTCTCCCTGTGCAGGTCTCCTCCTCTCTCTCTCTCTCTCTCTCTCCGTTTGTGTGTGTGTCTCTCTGTCCTATTAGTTCCTTGTCAGTCTCTCTCAGCCTTCTTTGTGTCGGTCTTGTTGCATTATTGTTCTTGTCTCTCGCAATCAGAAGCAAGTGGCGCATAACGTTGACACACACATGCACACACACACACTCTTCTCTCTCTCACTCAAGTTGAGAGAGAGAGTATGTGTGACACATGCAGTCCTATGCTATCCACCACGGAGAAGGCGGGACAGCGGGTGCAGGTTACAGTAACCCTCCGTGTGGTGAGGTGGGAAGAGGTTTCCGTCGTTCTCGAGTAGATTTCGGAACTCCGTGGTGAAGAGGCCCGGGCCCGTCGAAATCTGCCACCGAGTGTTCGTTTCAGAGTTCAGACCTGGGGCTAGTGAGTGGTTGAGGGTATATCACTGGTTGTTGGTCAGGAATGGTCCTTGCCTTCCTGGGCAGTTTGGCTGTCTTAGCATCTTTCGGCCTTAAAGGCCTAAAGGGCCCGGATTTGGTTGCTCATCATGCTACAGTTCAATTGCCTATTGTTGTTATCCTGAACGAGTTCTCTCTCTAAGCGGCTCGTTGTGAGGTGGGCGTGTGCTAGCACCCTCTGTGGCCGACCCCTGTGGCCGGGGTTTTCCCACCGGAGTCACCGAGGGGTTTTCAGTGCCGGTACTGGAGCAACTGGATGGGGGGAGCATCCCCCAGTAGTAAGGGAGCTAGCTGGTGTGCCTCGCTCTCGCCGGGATCTCGCCGGGATGTGTTGCCTACATAGGCAACTCGGCCATAACGGACTTGGTCAGGTGTGGGTCAGGGGACGCCATGTACGGTGAGCTCCTATTGTATGTAAATCGTATGCATTCCATGCAGGGGGATTTTATATCTTGTTGTGGTTATATGCGGCAAGGTGGACTGTATTTATGTATATCTATGCCGGTATTGTGCTGAGTAGTACAATGCCCGCATATGCCTGTGTGTCTGTCCAGGCCAGGCCAGGCCAGGCCAGGCCAGGCCAGTGTGGGTGTCATGTGTTGTACACATTTTATGCGGCTGGTAGTGGAAGCATAGTAGATGTGTAGTGGATGCAGGTAGCCCTACCAGGGATGAGTTCTATTGTTCTAAGATGGTTGTCCCGTGTTTCGTCAGGCTTGTCTGGTGTTGCCTGCTGTCTGCTGCTGCGCTTTCTCCTGTGGCCACCCCCACTGCAATATGACCAAATCTGATCTGTCTTCTTCCGTCTGTCGCCATGAAACATGCGGCGAGCACGTGTTTTTGTTTTTAGGCGCTGCTGGGGACAAGGTAAAGTAAGGAGGACATGGATTGGTGTGGTGTAGATCGTACGAGGAAAGTGCTGCTGCAATAGGTAATGGAGAACGGCCTGTGCTAGGACCTCGTCTTGGGTCCTATTTGGGACCTTGATTACCTATCATTACACTCAAAAAACCTTCAATCAAGAGCTGTGCTTAGGTGTGGTGTTGTCCCGAAGTCCAATACAAGGCGCAACAGACAGCAAATATAAGCTTAGGGGCTATGCATGTTTTGATACTCATTGTTGAACACGACACACTTTCATACGTTTTTTATGTATGCAGTTGCCCTACCGTGCTACTCTCTTCTACAATGTCTACAACTTCCACAACTGCCTCTGCATCAACTATGCCTGCTCAAAACCTTTACTGAATCCATGAAATTCACCTCCCTTCCACTTGCCTCTCAGGAGTCCCCCCCTCAAAGACATGGGCCGTCAGGAGCCCCCAAGCTTACGAAAAAAATAACACATGACCCCCCAACCCCTTTTCCTCACTCCCCAAACTCCACCCCCAGAAGCCTTCTCACCCCTATTTCCACTAAACTCTTTACTTCTGTGAGCCATATCACCAGTCCATGCTGTGGCTGCCATTTTCTTAAGCTGACCTTGCGCTGCCTAATCACGAGTGCTACACAGCACCCCCACCCCTGACACACAGCAGCTGCTGCAGCTGCTCCAGCTCTCGCACCCGCTGCACCTCAGTCCCATCCAGGCGGGAACGTGCAAAGTCCAGCAGTATACAGTGTGGCCCTTCATTGCCACTGCCTGCAGCCCCCAGGGATGCCCTCTCTGCCTCTGAAGCCTCGCTCAGCCCTGCAACCCAGTGATGCCCGGCAGCTCTATAAGCAGCAGGTTCTGGGGCTGAATGTCACCATGCAAGAAGCCTGCACAGGCACCCTGCACTGCCTGGAAAGTGTGCAGGACTGCACAGACCACATTCTTAGGGAGTGGCCGCTTCATGTCTGAGAGCAGCGTGCCACCCTCGACTGGCTGCATCGCAATGTACCGCAGGTTGTATGGTAGCTGACCCATGGACAGCACCTGCGGCACCACTGAGCCCTGCAGTGGTGCCAGGGCACAGTAGGCAGACACCTCACGGTAATACGCCTTCAACCCTTTCCTATCACAGAAGCAGACCTTAATGACAGCAGGCACATCATCACATGTGCCATTGTAAAGTGTGCCATCATCCCCACACGCCCTCTCAGTGAAGAATCGCAGTCGCACACACCACTCTCATGATGGCAGATGTGCAACCACACCAGCTGTTACTGGTGCTGCAGCTGCAGTGACAGCCGCTGCACAGCTGGCAGGCTCTTGGGCCACAGCAGCCCTCTGACACTGTGAATAGGATGATTCCGCCTGAGCATATGACTCCCTGAAGATACACCGTATGGTAAGGATCACTCTGGGAACCCGCTTCCCTTCGATACCCGGGATTCCCTTCATCTAGTGGTCGTTTCGTGCTCATTTAGTGCTCATTTCGGGATGAAGGGCTGAGGGGCCTTCAGAACATATAGATGGAGCTCGGCTGAAATGGTCACTTTCCATGCAAAAGCCGTCTAATATCGCCATGCCAGGGTTTGTTTTAATTACTTATGACTGTATGCATTGTTCCAACGTGAGTTATCATGAATTCTGAGCTCATCCCACAATGAAGGGCTGAGGGCCCTTCAGAACATATCGTACAGCGTCTGTTTGCAAACCTGTACAAACATGCACAGCATCTGCTTGCAAACCTGGTTATTAAGGATATAATAACAGCGAATAATTATGGCCCCTGCACCTAAAACATATCCACGTTACCTCTGTGACGGCCGACTGTATGCGCTATCCAAATTTGAAATTTCGTGTGTGTCCTGTGGACGCAACTATAAGAGCAAGTCTCGTGTGTATTGTCACATTACCAGACAGCAATGCGTCCAGCTTCTTAACAATGACAAAGAGGCCGTGACTCCTAACGAGATGGTCGCTGGACGCAGTGAGAAATTGCTGCAATACTTGGCCACGTACTGTGTATGGTTAACACTTGCGACATCCAATATTATGCAGATGAATCTCCTCAGCAACAAGTTCCAGTTGCAGCGGGCTCGTCGGTGGTTGGTGCGGGAGCACAGGCTCAAGCTGACCAGCCAGATCAAACAGGTAAACCAAACTAGCAGACATGTCACATGTAGGTCATCAGTTATTTGAAGCCAGGTCCCCCCTGTCGGTGTAGGTGCCCCAACTCCAGTGGTGGTGGACATGGAGTGGAGTCCGCTGAAGGGCCAGGCAGAAATGCAGTGGAGCCCCGACAACCTATCAGGTGAGACCGGCAGGGGAGGTGAAGGGGATGGGGTGAACGGGGTGCTGGTGATGGCAGCTCGGGTGACTGCGGCTCAGGCTGTGCCGCCGTTGCCCCTGATGTCGCTGCTGGGACAGGCGACAGGCATGGGGGAAGGGACAGGTGACGGCAGGGAAGGCGACAGATCCGAGATCCGTATTGTTGCATGTGAGAACGGATGTGAATGCAGGGGAGAGAGGTCAGCTTGGAGGAGCTAGCTGCTCACAATCTGGTCATCTCAGGGTGGGAAGCTAAGGAGGCGAACCTGCATGCAGCAGACAGCGTGCTGAGTCCCTACAAGCACGTATTTAATGACAAGAGCGAACTGGAGCTGGAAAAGAACATCGCAAATGCCATTCTCAGGTGGGGATGTAGGGGCGCCCCAGTTGTTATCCGCTTTCGATGTACTACCTTTCATGCTGCCAACCATTCCATGTGCCAACACTTCCCTGTTCATAGACGCCATATCCTGATTGGCCTCAGCCAGGACACCACCTGGGAGACATCAGTTAAGATCCTCCTCAAGGATGGGGGTGAGTAAATGGTATTGCAATTATTCTCTGTGTATTACAACTGTCTTGGGTTAGCCAGTGATCACAATTGGTCCCTTTTCTGTACCACTCATCCTGCATGTGCTCGTGTTGCTCATGCAGTGAACATCCATCCGGCCGCTGTCAAGGCCTTTGGTCCTAAGCAGCCTATTGGCCCTGTCAGCAACAGTGCAGCAGCCGTGGCGGATGCTGTCATCGAAGCCACTAGCCCAGAGGGTGGTGCTTACAAGGGCATCACCACGGTGGGAGGCGTCAATGGGACTGCAGCTGCAGCTGGCGTTCCCAACAAAGCTGCAGCAGCACCGGATGCCCCTGGTGCTGCAACTGCAGGACAACAGGCCACAGTGGATGCTGCAGCCCTGGGCCACGGATGCAGGTGGCGGGAGAAGTCCACAGCAGCCCTGAAGATGGCAAAGGCTGGCTCAAAGTGCAGATGTTCGTTGCCTGATGTTGTCTTGACAGAAGCGGATCTCCCCTTCGTGGAAATAAAGGCGAAGGGGAAGGGGAGCAAGAAACAACGATATTAGTGGATGCACGTTTATTTTGGGATGAATGCACATGCAATGTGATGGACAGCAGCATTGTCTTCTTTTGTGGAGGTGCCTTTTCTTAGGGCTGAAGGTGTGTTCTTATCACATGGTGGACAGGGTCTTGAGACGGCTTGGCTTATAAGCAAATCGGTATCAAGACACTGTTCATCATGTGATAAGAACATGCCTTCCTAGTTAGGATTGGAGGCGCGTCCATATGGCGCGATGGACATTATGAAAAAGCTTAATTTTGGGCTGAAAGGGGCCTTCATATCAC